TAACATTTCATATAATAAGGGCTTGGTGATGATGAACTCCTTTAACTTGACCTTATCTGAGAAGAACACCCTCTTATTTTTAAAAACCTCTTTCTGTTTCCACATTGGGGTGTCTGCAGTTGCCTGCAGGAGAACTCTTAATCTGGAGTCACCGATTCCTCAGCACTCCTGGGTGATGAGTGGGTGAAACCAGAGCCATCTCATTCACTCCCCACTCTCCACAGGATTCAGGAGCTAAATCAGTGCCTCCAGAACTGTACCTCTGCAATATTTCCTACCAGAATCATCCAGGGAACTTCAAAGATGCAGATCTCATGCCCTCACCCTGACCCTTCACTCCGGGTGGGGCCAAGAGTCTGCATTTGAACAAGCTGGGGTGAGGGTGGGGAGGTCTGTTGGGCAAGGGGAATGGGCCCCTCTCTGTCTTGTGGCTTCTCTGTGTCTCTGCCATGTTCTCCCCAGAGCCAATCTCTTCATGTCTCCTACAGAGCCAAGCTGATGGCCTTGGTCAAGAGGAGTCACCCCCATGGCTGGAGTCACTTAGTGGCCTCTCCTTGGGTTGCTATCTAGCCTTGTGGCCCCACAGTGCTGCCTGGAGCAGAGGCTGTGGGCTGCAGTCCCAGTGAGTAGGGACAGTGCCTGCAGTTGGTCACGACTCTACCTCTTCACTGCACAGGCTTATAGACACATTCTGTGATACTATCCAATTTAAAGGAGAAGACCAGGTGGGTTATGCCTGCACTCCCGTGCTCTGCATAATTTGGGTGGGGTAGTTTCATGATGATGATAATGGTGAAGGTGCCACCTCAGGGTGGTTCCCTCAGGGTACCTTACACTGGACAAAATTCACACCTGTGCAGTGGGTGAGTGCACAGAGAGCCTGAGGGAGGTGTCCCAGTCAGGGCATACTGATGACAGAGCAGAAATGCCAGACACCTGGTCCCTGGGCACATGGCTTGACTAGTTATGGGGAGATGGCAAGCTGAGAACACGAGATGAGACTAAAAGTGAGAGAAGCAGGGGGGATTTAAACCAGCTAATTCCCCCCACCCATCCCCTATAGGTCAGGTGAGGCCTAACAGGGGTGTCCAACCTTTTGGCATCTCTGGGCCACACTGGAAGAAGAGTTGTCTTGGGCCACTGGTTAAATATGTTGCAACATGAAGCTTAGTTACCTGGGCCAGGTTATTGAGGTGAGCTCTTGGCTCCAAGGAAGGTCACAGTGGAGACTACAAACCACTGCAGGCAGAAGCAGGTCTGCAGCCTACCCACCCTCCTCTCCCCAGAACAACATCAATGAGGCCTTTATGCACACACCATATTTGCTCAGTGTCAGAAAACAATCAGGTGAGCACGAGCCACCTGTCACAGCCTCCTATGCTTCCCCTTCGCTTCTGTTCTCTCCATTTTGGTGCTGCCATGTGTGTACACAGCCCCTGGGTGGGGGTGGGGTGAGCATGGAGTGATGGCTGAGAGCTAAGGAGGTGGTAGTCTTTCTGGCACCAGCCTCCTGGTCTTCCAGACCAGCACACAGCAGCCAAAGCTCTGGCCTCAATTTCATGCATAATGATGAACCACCTGAGCCTGGTGCTGGCCTCAGAGTCCAGTCAGCCAACAAGAGGTACAACTACCATAATTTAGCCACAGGGGGAAATTGCAGGGCTGAACCTCTGCAAGAAGTCTTCGTGTCTGTGGAGCTTCTGGCAGGAACGTAGGCGGTTCCACGTGTGAGCTTCTCTCAGGACCTGGCTGGACCCTGAATATACTCCATCCACACAGGGATTTATTTCCTTACTTCTAAACAGCAGCAGGAACTACATAATGGGGTCTATAGTAAAGTCCACCCTAGAACAGAAACCAGGCCATAGTGGGACTTCGAGCAGGACAGATTTCACAAGTGTAGGTGACTATGAGAGTACATTTATTGAAGCTGGGGACAGTGAAACAAGGAAGGGCCTAGGATTGAAGAAGCAACAAGAGACAGACTGGGTGGGGCTGCTGTCAGCTCACTGAAAAGTCAGAGAAAAGGAGGCTTTGGAGACAGGTTTTGGGGGCTTAGCCTGGGATGAGCTGCTGCTGCCCATTGCTCCCCCGGCTGCATGCCTCATGGGTCCTTTAGAGTTTAGGAGGTGTGTGCCTCTGGGGGCCGAAGAGGAGGAAGAGAAAGGAGAGGACACGATCCTGGGAGGGAGAGCAGGAGCTGGGTTTTTTGTTTTGGAGGTTTTTTATTTGTTCTGGGAGTTTAGGGGAAGTCTTGGGGGAGATCTCTAGAATAGTCATCAGTTTTCCAGGTGTGCCCTTTCAGGGTTGGGGTCTCCAGTGATTCATCAGAGCGAGGGCAGGGGGTCATCAGTCACAGCAGCTGGTCCTGGCATCACCCACCTGGCTTTGCTGCTTTTCTGGGCCTAGAGCTGAAACAACTGGGCCCAGATATTACTTCTAGGGAGGTGACCTTCTGTCTCTGGCTGTAAATCGCTCTCTGCTGGGCCAGTTGGTTCAGCTGTCTGTTTCCCTATTCTGCTTGTCCTGGCTTACTGGCCCGTCTCAGTTGCTAATGTTGTGCCTATGTTCTTACTTACTTGAATGTTTGAGTTCACTCAAGGGGCTTGTAGTTTGTCCTGGTTTATGATTACATTTTAAAAGTAATAAATCAGGCTGTAAAGTATGTATTATCCAATATATTTGTATATCATGATTAGTTGTAGATATTGGTAATGTTCCATTATTTGAAAAGTTTTGCCGGAACCTTGGTAAATTGTGTGGAAATATACCACTGTGTAATGTGTATTACAAATAACAGAAGACTAACTCGTTGTGTGCCTGTAGGGCTTCTGTAGGCATTAACTTTGAATTGATAATGCTAACCATATGATTTAATTGAGAATTTACTTTTGACTGTATTGTAAATTAAAGTGATTTCTATGGATCCTACTAGCATTTGTATTTCTTTTAAAAAATGTAAGAAATTTCCAAATGAAACATTTTAAAATTATACTAATTGAGTACACCTGTTACATGAACGCAGCACTTTGTCCCTGGAAGGCATGTGATGTAGCAGCAAACTAAAAGCAAACGGGTTCCAGTCTGAGCAACAAAGGGGTTGGTGGGCAGTGGCCACTCGGCTATGTACAGGAGGGGCACCAGACGCTGCGTAGTCTCTGCAAGGGACTCTGTTGATCTGTTGCGTGCCCGGGGTGCTCAGAAGGAAGGCCGGAGGAGGAGGACGGCATTGGATGCCCCTGATCTAATCCAGAACTTCCACTTTGGCGATAAGGAATGTGATGCCCACAAAAGCCATATTCCTTACCATGTTAGTAATTAGTCTTGAGTCCATATCTAAGGCAACTATAAAGCCACTTCAATATTTTCAATGTTTTTTCTTTGAGATTATTTCTTGCTTCTTTTAATCCCTGTTATCAATACAGAACTGACCTCATTTTGTTCTCTCTGGCATTATCATCAAGTTAGTGAATTGAATTCCTCCTCATCCTTAATTCTCTCTGCACCATGCCTTTAATTTTTTCCCCTTAGACCAGTGATTTCCAACCTTTTTCATCTCATGGCACACATAAACTAATTACTAAAATTCTGCAGCACACCAAAAAATATACTATATTTTTTGCCAATCTGACAAAAAAATTAGGTATAATTTTGATTCATTCGCACTGAATGGCTATTGTGTTGACTGTTGTCATTTTTTATGTGACAATCTAAGGGAAAAGAGGCCAGTGCCCCTGACTAGTCAGGTAGCACATGTTTTAAAATCCTTGTGGCGCACCAGAATGCTTCCTGCGGCGGTGTTTGAGAATCGCTGCCTAGACGCTTGGGTCACAAGTAATCCCTGTGTCTCTCTTTTGATCAAATATTTTCCTCTATTTTCGGTTTCATTCCTGGTTAAGAGAAGACTATCAGGCCCTGAGCAGTATGACTCTGTGGATCGTGTGTCGTTCCACAAGGTGAAAGGCCCTGGTTTGATTTCCGGTTGGGGCACAGGCCTGGCTTGCAGTCGGGGCAGGTAAGAGAGGTCACCTATCAATGTTTCTCACAATGATGTTTCCCTACCTTCTCTCTAAAAATAAATAAATCAAATCTTGAAAAATAAATGAGAGAGAGAACTACCAGTATTGTAACACCAAAGTAAAGAGATACTAGGCTCTAGTAGCTGATTAATGTATGATGAACTTGAACTCTGGTTAAGTACAAGTTTCAGCTTCACTCAAAAACAAACACAAAAACAAAACTGTCCATGGGAGAGGGGAGCAGGCCAAGAATGCCTGATGGGTAGGAAGAGGAGGGCGGGGCACACTGGCTATTCAGCTTCAGGTTTAGAGGATCACGGGTAGTCGTGGGTCCCCAACTGACAATCAGCTTGGCAGCAGGCAGGTTTCATTTCAACTGCTAGCATTTTCCATTTGAATTAGGTACCAATGTTCCAAAACAACCGGTTTCCCATAATCATCCAGAATCTGGGATTTTAAGTTTTATTCCATTTTAATTAATTTAAACAGGAACTTATGGCTAGAGACTACTATATTGGACAGCACAGATTAAGGTCGACTCCAGAGAAAAATTTCCAAGGTGAGATTCCTTGGCCCTAGCCATGGCTGGCTGTGACATCTGGCCACCCCCACTCATACCCCCCACTCTGGGCCTTTCTGGGGTGAGGGAATGCTCCCCAGATCTGTTCCCATCCATCCTGCCTTTGAAGGAGTTGAGGTGGGGGAGGGAGAAAGCTACCACAGTGTGGCACAGTGGGGAAGACAGCAGATGGCGTTCAGGTGAATGTAAAAGATGAGAAGGCTGTTTTAGGACAGGCCTCTGCAGTGGCCATGATGGAGGTGCTGAGGGCAACACAGGGCTTGTTGGCGACCCTGGGAGGCTGGAACCCCAGCCGCATGGCCACATCAGCAGAGGAGAGGAACCAAGTCACACTTGACCTTAAAGCAGCAGGATGGCCGGAATTAAATGAGAGATGCCATCGACACAGAGTTCTCCTTAAAACATTTTAATCAGGCATTCGCTTCATGACTCGAGTTGTCCTACAAACAGAGAAGATAAATCATCACCGGGAGTGGTTTCATACAAACAGCAAAGTGCACACAACCCCCTCAATTGACTGCGGTGGACTGGCCAAAAGAGATGTGAAATGGGCTAGCTTCATTGAAACAGCAGCTGTTTCTGTGAGATTTCTTCCAAAATGCATATAAAATCTTATTAACATCTTAGGTGTAATGTATTTTGAAGACAATTTACATGAACCATTTAAGTTGTAAATTTAGTTCATCTTCATACCACATTCTGTAAAAATCAGTGCTTAAATACAAAAATCTTTTATTTTTTTAAAGGCTGTTTTACTTGGGCACTTTGAAATACGCTCCTGAGGGCAGGAACAGATGCTTCCCGGGAAGGGAAGAACTAATGCAGGGTTAACGGGAGCCAGAGGGATGTGGGGGTGGGCTGTGGCCAAGGAGGGTGGTGCAGGGACCTCTCCTGCAGGCCTCGGCTGCAGAGGAGGCAGGGAGAGGCCCACAGGGTAGGCCTGGAGGAACCTGAGTGAAGCTAGTACAGGGTCTCCCGGGAGTGGGTTCTCAGGTGGCGCAGCAGGTGGGAATTGCGGCTGAAGCTGCGGCCACACTGCGTGCAGGAGTAAGGCCTGGCCCCCGTGTGCACCAGCATGTGACGCAGTAGGTTGCAGCTTCGGCTGAAGCTCTTGCCACACTCTAGGCACTCTTGAGGGGGCTCGGCCTGCCCGGACACCGCATCCCCTGTGCCTGCATGGGTGGCCAGGTGCCGCTGCAGGTGGGCGTTGCGTCGGAAACTCCGACCGCATGTCTGGCAACCATAGGGCCGCTCACCGGTGTGGCTGCGGCGGTGGCGGGCCAGGTTGGAGCTGTTGCGAAAGCGGTGGCCACAGGTGTCACAGGCGTGGGGCTTCTCCCCTGTGTGGATGCGCTGGTGGCGAGCTAGGTGGGCACTCTGGCTGAAGCCTTCGCCGCACTGGCTGCAGCGGCAGGGCTTCTCGCCGGTGTGGCTGCGCCGGTGGCGAGCAAGGTCCTGAGTCTGGCTGAAGGTTTTGCCGCACTGGGTGCAACGGTGGGGCCTTGGGCCACCGTGTGTCAGGAGGTGGCGGGCGAGGCTAGCTCGGCGCACGAAGCGCTTCCCGCACTGCTGGCAGCCGTAGGGCTTCTCGCCCGTGTGCACCCGCTGGTGGTAGACCAGCTGGGAGCTCTGGCTGAATCTGCGGCTGCAGACCTGGCAGGAGAAGGGCCGCTCGCCCGTGTGCACACGTAGGTGGGCCCCCAGGTGCTCACTGCGCCGGAAAGCCTTGCCGCAGTCGCTGCACACGTAGGGCCTGCGCTCATCAGGGCTCCGGTGTAGGCTGTCTGAGTTCTCGGAGCGCTGGTGGCCCTTGTCTTTGGCGTGAATCCGCAGGTGGCGCTTGAGGCTGGAGCGGCGCTGGAAGGTTTGGCCACAATGGGAGCACAGGACAACAGCCAGTTCTGGAGCTTTGGTCTTGGTCTCCGTGGTACAGGACGCCTTTTGGTCCTGGGCGTGAGCCAACAGGTGCTGCAGGAGGCTGGTCCGACTCTGGAAGCCCTGGCCACATTCGGCACACAGGAAGGCAGGCTCGGAGTGTGTCTGCAGATGCTTGTTTAGATGTGAGCTCTGGCGGAAGCGGTGGTTGCAGAGGTGGCAGGCATGTGGCCGCTCGTCCGTGTGCGTGCGCATGTGCAGCTTGAGGATAGAGTTGCGGCCGAAGGTCTTCCCACAGCACAGGCATGGGAAGGACCGCGCTCCGGGGTGAGACCGCAACTGGTGCCCTTCCAGGCGGGCCAGCTTCGTGAAACTCACCCCACATTCTGTGCAGATGAACTTCGTCTCTGCTTCCGGATTAGAGGCCCCTCCGGCCACTTTGGCCTCTAGAACATCATCACTCTTACCATCAGGGGACTCTCCTGCATGAGGGCTGCTCACTTCAGGGCCCTGCCCAAGTGACTGCGCATGGGGCTCTTCTGTCGCCCCTGGACTACCTTCCTGAGATTCTGCGGAGATGGCAGCAGACCAGGCAACCCCTCTGGGCTCTTCTTGAAATGCCCCATCTGGGGTTCTGCTTCCAAATCCTGTAAAACAAGCAAAAATCAGGATTGGTCAGGCCTATTCCCAGGGCTCCTAGAAACCACCAGGACCTCATTGCCTGGAAGTGGAAAGAAACCTAGGATCCTGCAAAGCTGGTGGGTTGGCAGAGGGCGTGGGGTAAAAAACAAGTGACATACAATTCACCACCATAACTGTTCAACAGTGTACAATTCCCGGCCGTGAGATACATTCACAGTATTGTGTGACTGTCACCTCTCCCCAGTGTCGGAACCTGGTTATTCACTCACATGGAAACCCCACACCCATTAGCAAGCACTCCCATGGCCACTGATTTTAAAAGCTCAGAGTTAAAGAGGTCGATGATTAGACCACACACCTGAGGCTTTGAATATTTATACAGGGTGGGGTAAAAACAGGCTTACAGTTGATTGTATGAAAAATAATACAATGATAAGTAATAACACAAGAATAAACTTGGTTTCACATACTCATTTTGCCCACCTGTGTACGTCTGTGTGTGTGTGTGTATATACATATCTATATATATGATGCCTATCCAGAAAAAGTCCAACCATTGTTTACATAATAAGAATGGTTTGTGCGACACTGATGTAACCTGGCAGCCAAGGAGCATGGACTGGAATGTGCATTTGTGAGCAACGATGACTTCACTATACTAATCAGTGGGGGTGTAGATGCTGATGAGTGAGCATTTGCACCATGTGGCAGTTGCATTCAAAATGACTGAGAAAGTAGAGCAACGAATCTGATTAAATTTTGCATTAACCTTGAACATTCCTCCGCTGAAACTGTGCAGATGATTCAAAGGCTGCAGTTATGGGCAACCAGTGGTAGGCAGTTTTATCACGACAACGTGCCCACTCATGCATCACATCTCATGCAGACTGTTTTTGAGAAACATCATATCACCCAGGTGACTGAGCACTCCCTACAGCCCAGATTTGGTGCCCTGCAAATTCTGCCTTTTCCCAAAACTAAAATCACCTTTTAAAGGGAAGAGATTTCAGACTGTTGATGAGATTCAGGAAAATACAAAGAGGCAGCTGGTGGCAATTGGGAGCTTTGTGTAAAGTCCCAAGGTGCCAACTTTGAAGGGGACTGAGGTGTCATTTCCCTACATGCAATGTTTCTTGTATCTTGTACCTTCTTCAGTAAATGCCTCCATTTTTCATAGTACATGGCTAGATACTTTCTGGACACACACACACACACACACACACCCCTCCAGAAGATATCTATATGTTTTCATCACAATAGCCCATTTTAGCCAAATTAGGTCCAAATGTCTGGAGGGTCTTGAGGGTCTGGATGTTCAAGAATCACATCCCAAGAAAAAGGAAGAGCTTCACTGGTCATAAGCCCTGGAAGGGGTTCTTACCCAGAGGGTGCACAGGCCACGCCTTCTTCACTGGGGCATCTTCAAAGGTCAGGGACTCCTGTGAAAGGAGGGGCAAAAACCCACGAGTGAGGAACAAGGCTCTGAGACCTGAGGGAAATGAAGAGCTTTCTTGGCTTAAATTCAGGAAGACATAGATTTGCTAAAACTGCAGAGGCAGACGAACATCCTGGAGTGAGGGGACAAGCCCAACTCACCAGAACAGCAGCCAGCTCCTGATCGTGGGAGTTCTCAGGCCACAGCTCACGGTCCTGGGGGGCTGACAGCACTGGGAGGGAGAGAAAGAGCTGTGAGAAGCCAGCCTTATCCACCATGAGGCTGTGAGGACGTGCGCTTCTCACCAAGTGCCTCTGAGAGGCATCTTGGCGCTCATCTATTCCTGTCAACCAGAGGCTGCCCACCTGTCTCCCCACCTGGCCTCCCAGTTCCCACCTTCCCTCGGGCAGTAGCTCCTCACCACTCTCTTGCAGGGCCTGAAATGTCCTCTTGGAACCTGGGCTCAGTGGCTGCTTTGAATGTGTGGGACGTCTCCAGGCCCCCAGCTCAGCAGACTCAGAGGGCCCTGGCTGGGATGGCAGGAGTCCTTTCGTTGGCTCTAGGGCTGGAGGCTTTTCTGGGGGCACTTCCTTTTTGGGGCTATGGATGGACACCTGGGAAGGGTCCCCTTGTTCTTCCAAGGTGATGTCTGCACGGGGACAATTCTTGCCAGTGTTAAAACTAAAATCCTGTTAAAAATGTACCATGTCAGGCAACAGACAGGGTGGCAATCCATGTCTTACTGACTCCCAAGGGAAATAGGACAAAGGAGAGTCAGAAGAGGAGGAGCTAGGAGGTTAAGAAGAAATTGGCAATGGCAGGAAAGTGGAATGTTCAGTGATTCTTAATGGGGCCATAAAGTCCCTGTCCGTCCCACCAGTTATCCAGCCCGCCCGGCTGCCACCCTCTTACCAGTGGCCCCACGTCGACGGACTCCCTCTGGACACCCTCCAGCAGCAGTACCACTTCCTCGCCATCCCTCAGCTGCTGGCCCTGAAGCCGGGCCAGGAGGTGTGGGGGCAGCACGCTTAGGAACTGCTCTAGCACCAGCAGCTCCAAGATCTGCTTCTTGCTGTGTAGTGCTGGCTGCAGCCAGTGGCTACAGAGCTTCCGGAGCCGGCTCAGCGATGCCCTGGGCCCCATGTCCTCCTGATACTGGAAGCATCTGAAGAGCTGGTGAGCCACTTCTGGTCGGAGCCTTATCTCTGGCCGCCTGGGGTCCTCCGGGCTGGCAGCCTCTTCCTCCTCCTCCTCCAGTTTTACTCCTCCGAGCTGCTCTGGCTCCCGCTCAGCAGGGACAGTTTCTACAAGCATCCTTCACCTTGGGGGACACCTCACCACAGCTCTTCCCACTCTTGGGTCTCTCTCCCTCTCTGCTCCCACACCTGTGGTATTAAGAGATGCCTAAAGATGTAGCCTCCAGAGGAATTGTTTCTCACAATGGCCATGGGTAATGGCTCAGCCAGACCAACACACCAAAAGGCAGAGAAAAGGGACAGCTCTGTATTACTGTTCTCTCCTGCAGGAGTTAGAACTCCACCTCACTTTACCCCAGCAACCAAAGATGGCATTCCCCTGGGAGAGGACAATTTGGCTTTCCCTGCCTCTTGATGTCACACCAAGGGGAGTACATGGCACCACCGAAGATGGGTCCTTACCAAAAATGTTCCATCACAATCCAATTCCGCCTTCAGACCCAACTTCCAGTGTAAAGGGCATTGTAGAGAACAAGTCAAATGATCCCTCAAGGAAACAATCAAACAAACCCTAAAGACAGGATATGATCTGGAACGGCTGGCCCAGGTTCTTCAGTCTGTCATAAAAATGAGTGTCTGTAGGAAGTGCTCGCTCTAGATACTAACACTCCTTACAACCAAATGCATGAAACTCGATCCGATCCTGAGTTTTAAGAGGCTCTCAAAGATATTTTGGGGTCAATTGGGAAAATTTGAACATGGGACACTAGATGACAATGGAAATGAATTTCTGAGATGGCATTTCAGTTTTGTGGCATGTAGGAAATATCTTTATTCTTAGATGTTGAAGGGTTTGGAAGTGAAGGGGCTTGAGGGTTCAGCCATATTGATGGATCAACATGCAAAATTGTAGCAATTGCTCTTTCAACGTATCTGGAAGTTTATGAATTTTAAGGATAAACGGTTAGGGGAGAAGCTTATGCATGTGGGGGGGGACCCAAAAAAACTGGCATTATCTTCTGGAGGGTGGGCCCCTTGTAGTACAGGCTTCCCCCACTAGGTGAGTGTTCTAGGAACCCATCTGTATCAGTGTGCCAGATAGCGTTGTTGTGAGAGGCTGTGTTCAGCTTCAGTGAGTTTTTTGGAAGACTGTCAACAAGTTTGCCCACTTCGTGATGGGTGATTTACGAGTGCATCTGCCCATACCACCCTGAGTGTTCAGCAGTTTTTGACCAAAAATGGCATGATCCCCATGCCCCACCCTCCCTATTCACCTGAGTAAGTTTATTTCATTTCCCTGATGAAAAAAATCCTCAAAGGGAAACATTTTGCTGATGTGGAGGAGGTGAAACAAAAAATGGCAGAAGCACTAAAAGGCATCAAAATCTATGAGTTCAAAAACTGTTCTGAGCTGTGGAAAAAAAGTCTTGATTAGGTGTATTGCATCAAATGGAGAGCACTTTGAAGGTGACTGAAGTTTAAACATGTCAGAATAAATACACGATATTGTAATAAATAAATCCAGGGTTTTTTTGGGTCCCCACCCGTATGACCTTTGACTAGACATCCTGACCCTTGCTTTATGGCTCTGGAAGTGTCTCTCAGGAAGCAGTCAAGGCCAAGGCCACTCAGCTGACCAGTGCAGGGCTGACCCCCACCCCCACCTGGTGTTCCTTCCAGTCTACTCACCTCCTCACCCAACTCCAGAGACTGAAGTCAAGATAAGCCAAGGAACTGGGGTTGGTGGATGGGTCTCCAAGGGAGAGAGAGGCTCACAGCTTGCATAAATTTGTCAGTGTGCCCAATGCAGGCCAAAGCTGCCTTGCCCATTTTGGAGGTCCCAAGTGGGTGTGCCCATGGGAACTGGGTTATGGGCAAGAGAGGCAGTCATTTCCTTTTCTTTTCTATTATTATTATTTTTTAATTCTAGAGTCTTCCTTGGTCTACCCCTCTGGGAGGAATCCATCCCTGTGAGTCTGGCCAGCAATAAAAAGTGCTTCTAACTGGCCACCAGGGGCCACTGGGTCCATGTGATGGACAACTGCCCCCTCCTCCTCTCCTCCCAAACTCCAAAGGGTTCTGTAGGGCTACTCCCTTCTTTTTGGGGGTAGCCCAGTTACCAAAGGGGGAGCTGCCCCGAGTTCAGTCATACTCACAAGGACTCAGTTTCGTCCTTCAGCACAACCCAGAAGATTTACCCTTTTTTTGAACAGGCCTGTACTTTTGTTACAGAACTTGAGGAACACTTATACTTTAATGCAGGTAGGAATTATTTTATGGATATGGAAACCCAAGTCCCAACTGCTCTCTGCCCTCCCTGCTTTCCAGCCTCAGGGCTACAAATGAGCTTCTCCCAACCTTGCCTCCCCACCCCCACCCCATGGACATGGGGCAGGGGAATGAGAAGAAAGCCTTCAGCATCACTTTCCAGCACCTAAAGGGACAAAGTGGTGGGCGTGCACAAGGACTAGCTACCATCATTCTCATTACTACTAGGTCATAATACAAACAAGCACAGCTAACAGTTGTCCCCATTTTACAGATGAGGACACCAATGCTCAGAAGTACAAACATTTACCCAGGAAGGTAACCCAACCTTGTCGATGGAGCCAGGGGAAAGGCAGTTTAGTCCAGAGCTTTGAACAGTTTGTTGAGCCCAAGATCTTAAAAGGGGACTCAGAGGAGAAAGGGCTGAGGATTCTCTAAACCTCCTTTTCAGGTAGGATAAGTGGAGTGTGAAATAGTAGAACAGAGAAAACTTGTATATTTTTAGAAGCTTGGGCCTACACTTTCTGCCTCAGAGTGGGGTGAGGGGAGAGAAGCTAAAACAAAGACTCAGGCCTGTATCCTGACCACTTAACCAGGCCCACCCCCTCTTTCCAGCCTCCCCCTCCCCCACAGTCCTGCAGCTTCCCAGCTTCCCTCCCCTCTCCCCACTTTCCAGCTTCTCCAGTCTTTCCCCTTCCTTCCCCCAGCACTTCTCTGGACCCCAGCCTCAGTCTCTGCAACGTTCATTCTTTCCTGCACCATGTCATCGACCCTACACAGGGCTTTTCCTTTTACCTCTGGCTCCTTCACCCCATTGTCCCCTCACTTCTGGGACTCCACAACACATAAGCCACCAGTCCCTGCCCCTGCCGGTTACTCTGTGTCCCAGTCTTGGCTGACTGTTTCTTCCCTTGGTCTTCAAGAAGAGACTGGCTCTTTTTCAGTAACTGTTCACCCAGCGCTTGCAGTGACTTCAATGTTTGTTAGTAGAAATAACAAAATGAGAATATAATGGCTACCTTGCAGTTGTAATTTTTGATGAATGCATACAAAATTGTGCTGAAAAGCTCTTTAATAAATATTCAGAAAAATGGGGTTTTGTTTCACTGTGTTTTGGTAGCAAGAGCAAAATAATTAGAGAACTGATCACGTGTAATCAGGACCCTGCATTAACAGCTGGGAGGTTCTGAGTGCTTAGCTATATGGGTGGGTGAATCCCACTCCAGCCCCCGGGGCAAATTATTTCTCCATTTGACGAGTGCAAAGACTATATTTAGGCAGGAGGACTAATTTTTCCATGGTCACCCCAGGTGAAGACAAGATTTGCTCTAAGGTGAGAATGCTGATCTTGACCGCTGTGCCAAAGCTCAGAAACAGAAAAGGACCCAGTTTTCCTCCAGCGCTGTGTGATTTGTCTTGTCTTAGCTAGAATATCGCACTATGAATCAGAAAATATAAGCATTTTCCAAATTCCAGTCATCAGGTCTAGGTACCCAGGGGTGCCGGAATCTCCCGGTCAGGTCTCACCAAAAGGTTTTTGAAAGAAGTGGAATTCAAATTCAAGGGAAGTTGGCTTTTGAGGCTCCCCCACTCCACTTCTCCAGCACACAAAAGCTTTGTTAATATGCATATCTGTGGGGGTTGGGCTAGGTACGTTGGGGAAACTCTACACTCACCCTCTAACATTTGACCAACATAATTTGGAGCCCACGGTAGACTTGCTGCCACAAAGCCCACCCACACAACAGGAGAGTCCAGGGTGGGGACTCCTCAGCCACGAACTCGTCCTTTCTCTCTGGACACAGTTGGCAGGAGTGGCTCGTCTCTGTTGGCGGGGCTCCACTCCTCGTGTTGAGCTGAGTGGATGAGGCTGGTCAGTCCTCCCGGGGGCATGTGGAGCCTACCTTTCCCTTTTCAGGGGACACAGCAAGCCCATGTCATAGGAAGTCCTGCAACCTCCCTGACGTCCCCTCCGCCACAGGTCCACAGATCTGGCTGGCTCTGGGCTTCTCCCCAGCATGGACCACCCACACCTTCCCAAGACTTTCCTCCAGCTAACTAATCCCCCTTCCAGGCCTGGAACCGTCACCCCCACCCCACCCCAAATTCTCCAAGCTGCTATGACCCCTACGTTTATCCTGGCAGCCTGCACCCCAGGTCTCTCTGCCACTCACCACTCAGGGTCCCCTCTCCAGAGATAGAGGTGCTGGGGTTCTCTGAGGCCCACAGGACCAGATTCAGGCTCAGCCAGCCTGGGGAAGGACTCCAGGAAAATGGAACAGGAAGTTCCCAGCCCCAGTCCCATGCAGGTGATGAGGGGGCATCCTAGAGTTAACCCTTAAACTCCCAGTTGGGGAGCGGGGTGGGGGGTGGGGGAGAAGGCAAGGCGGGGCCAGAGAAATAAAGATGGGGTCAATCCAGATTCCAACCTCAGACTGCTTATGAATCTAACTACCCCTCTAAGTAAGAACTGCCCCCCTCCTAATCAGAACTGGTCCTATGCCCCTTGGGGGGTCTGTCCGCCTGTACTTTTGTTGGGGGTCGGGGGAACAGAGAAGAGCTACCATTTTAAAATGCCTGCTGTGTGCTGGGCTCCTTGCTAGGCATTTCGTTCATGCAACAAATCTTTGCCAAGCATCTGCCCTGTGCTAGGCACAGTGGTGGGTGCTGAGGACACAGAAGTAAACAGGCCCTGACCTCAGGGGCTTGCTTACACGCCAGGGTGCAGGAGAAAACAGTGGTGGGCCCTCAAAAGAAAATAGGACTGGGTAATGGGGGAAGGGAGGGAGCCATCAACACTGCCGCCTAAAATCCTCTCAAGAATGCTGCCAGGTGGCTTTTGACCCCAGCTTTACCAATGACAAAGCAGAGGCTCCTGGGAGGGGAAGTGACTCACCTTTGACTCTAACTACAAAATCAAACTTTTCTCTCTGCTCTAAGGGGCCTTTTTGGGTTGTGCTCTAGGTGGTAGCCTGGAGGGTGCATTTCCACGGCCACCTGTCCTGGGGACCTGGGGCCACCTACGCAGTGGCCAGAGACTGGGGGCTAGCCGCCCCTCGAACCAAACATGTAGGGGTCAGACCCCGTGCTTGGTCTGGCTCTTCTGCAGGGTCACTGTCTTCCTGCACTTAGCACCGGGGCTTCTCTGGTTTCTTTATTTGTCTAGTGTGGGCCTCACTGGACCTCAAGCTCCCTGCGGACAGTGGGGTTTCCCTTGTCTGCTCCACATTCCCCTCGCCTAGCCTAGCGCCTGACATGTTATCGGGACGGACGAACTGGCTGAGGAGCAGCACCGCGGAGCCCAAAGTACTCCAGGGTTTGCCGGGCGCCCCGGACCCGGGGCTCCCCACAGAGCGGACTCCTCCGGCTGAGTTCCCAGTCCCGGGCTGCTGCCGCCCGCCTCTGGGCGGGGCTGAGGGGAGGGGCAGGAGGAGGCACCGCCCCCAGAACCTGACCTGGGTCCTGAGACCCGCCCTCAGAGCTGCAGCGCCTGCCTTTGACCCCAGAACTTACCTGTGCGCCCATGGCTCTGGCCTTCAAGGACGTGGCCACGTACTTGACCCCTGCGAGTGGGGGCGGCTGGGCCGGGAGAACTGCAGGAACTTGACCTGTCCCGGTAAGGATCCCACCAGGTTGTCTCCGGGCGTTGGGCCTGCAGTGTCCGGAGAGCCTGCGGGAGCTGGCGGGGAACGCCCCGGGAAGATTCGGAGGTCGCTGTTAACATGGATTTCCCCAGCCCCCCACTCAGGCTCACACTTTTTCTGGAAATATGTTATAAAAGCAGAGACTGCTTGACCCAGAAATATAGCCAGGCGGAAAGGCCTGGAGTGAGAGAAAACCAACACTTAACCTTTGGCCTTCTTCGTCTGTAAACCTCCGCCCGCCCGCCTGCAGAAGGGCTTTGACTAGTATTGCCGCTCACGGCTCACCACGTGCTTGCACCAGTCATTCACTCGGAAAATTGCGTCCCTAATGTGTGTTCCGCACTGTCCCCGACCCCAGGGCCGCGGGCTGAGTGGAACGGGCAGGTGCTACCGCCACGGGGCGTACAGTCTGGGCGGGACTAGGTCCCTGTGGAAGAGATTCCTTTTGACTTCTCATTAACTGAAGTTGCTTTGCAGAAAAAAAGGGGCTTAATGAACATTTAATTCCTTTCACATTCTTCCTGATCTTTGAAAATACATTCCCTTCTCCCAGAGTATTATCCACGAACGGACAAAAATGCCTGTTAAGTTGCTGGATTGTTGCTTTATCTCTAGTAAATGATAAACACGTTCCCAAGGAACTTTTAATATTCATCTACCTACTTGGGATATGTTTCAATATCTCCTAAAATTATTTCGAAAATGTAAACTTCAACTATTCTCCTTGTTACCTTAGAATTTTTTTTGTATCAGGTAGGTCAGCAAAAGTGCCCGACAGTGCTGACTGATGGTGTCTTCATCTTCAGAAATTTCAAAGGAAAAACAAATTTCCCTGTATTTTCAACTTCTATAGGATTTTTCCATTTAGAATAGTTCAGGGCAAAGGGAAAACTCCTCCAACTCTAGGAAAAATTCCTATTAAAAGTGCTATAATCCGAGCCCTGGCTGGTGTAGCTCAGTGGATTGAACATGGGCTGTGAACCAAAGGGTGGCCAGTTCAATTCCCAGTCAGGGCACATGCTTGGGTTGCAGGTCAGGTCGCCAGTGGGGGCCACATGAGAGACAACCACACATTGATGTTTCTCTCCCTCTCTTCCTCCCTCCCTTCCTCTCTCTATAAAAATAAATAAAAAGATTTTTAAAAATTAAAAATAAACTTTAAAAAGTGCTATAATCCCTTGAATAGCCTCTGGTTAATTCAGTGGTCTAAGTGTATGTCTCTAAACTGCATTAATAACACCTTCTCCTGCAGCTGTACCCCCAACATTTCCCTCTGGGCAGTCTCAATCATGAAGGAGTCATTGCAGGGTGTTTATGGCACAGCCAGACACCTCACTGAGGAAACACCAAGTCCCCTCAAGGGGACTGGCCTTGGTACAGAAGTGCTAGGGATATTGAGAAGAACACAAGGTGAGCCTTGGCATGTGCCAACCTTTCTTCGGTGTCTGCAGATTTGCCGTCCCCCAAGTTTCCCATCTCCTTGTCTCTCATTGGCAGGAAGTCTGAAGATTCAAAGGCCTCAGCTTGACATTTGCTGCTGTGTAGCTCTGGCAAGACATTTGACTCCTTTCACTCTGCTGCTCCAGGCTCTTCCCAAATGCTCACCCTAGGGCCCATCCAAGGCCTCTCCTACCATGGATCTCATCTAACTTCTTTTCCTTTACCTGCCACATTTCAGTCACCACCTTTCAATCCCTGAACATGCCTATCTGATCCCACCTCGCCGTCTCAGCCTGGAATGGGTGCTTTCACTTCCAACCCCACTTTGCCAGTTCCTCTTCATTCTTAAATTTCAGTCTCCTTGGGAAGACTGCTTCTGTTTGCTCTTTAAAAAGCATTCTCTCTTTGCACTCTAATTTCTTTCATAGCACTTAATAGTCTGTAATTCAGTTGCTTCTTTTTTGTCTATTTGGCTTTTGTCTACCCTGACCGTTGGACTTTAAGCCAAGGACCATGTCTTTATGGTTCATTGGTTCCCAGTTTGACCTCTCAGTGGATTTGAACTTCCATCTTCCTTAGAACTTTCCTGATTTTTAGGAGCCACACTATTTTATTTTATTTTATTTTATTTTATTATTTTATTTTATTTTATTTTATTTATTTTTTTTCCACCTTTCCAGTGTCTCTTCTTCTCCACCAATCTTTCTTTCTTTGCCTGACCATTAACTATTGACATCCTACAAAAGCGCTGGCCTAAGGGGCCTCTTCTCACTCCATTTCTTCCCAGCCTCTATTGGTTCCTACCTGTTGTTATTTACACCCTAGTGGAATCCACTCCACTTGAGAGTGGGCTGGATTTAGTTATTGCTTCTAATAAATGGAATCCAGTCTGGTTAGTGTTGAGTGTCACTTCTGAGATTAGGTTGTAAACAGACTGTGGTTTTCTTGGGGGCCTTCATATGCATACTTTCATTCTCTTGCTTCCTCCCCAGGGGGAGTCATGTCTGTGGGGAGCCTATGTTTTGAGAAATCAAGGCCAGTGAATGTGGGTTCTCCTCCCCCAGTCAAGCCTTAAGATGAGACTACAGCCCCAGCTGACAACTTGAGTATAACTTGACCCTGAGCTGGAGGCACCTAGCTAAGTCCCATTGGGTGCAGAAACCTTAAGATAACAAGTACCATATTTGGTTTATTTTTTAATTTTTATATTTACTTATTTTTAGAGAGAGAGGAAGAGAAGAACAGAAACATCAAAACATCAATGTGTTGTTGCCTCTCACTTGCCCCCCACTGGGATATGGCCTGCAACTCAGGCATGTGCCCTGACTGGGAATCAAACCAGTGACCCTCTGGTTCATAGGCTGGCACTCAATTCACTGAGCCACACCAGCCAGGGCACAAGTATTTGTTTTAAGATATAGTGTTTTGGGATCATTTGTTGCATAGCAAGAGATAACTAATAACCTCCCTTGGAGGTTTCATAGCCTCTGTGGCCTCAGAAACCATTCTCTGTAGCAGTATCCCTATATTCATATTTTACCTCTCAATTCTGTCCACTTGACATTGCTACTTGGTTGTCTCATAAAAGTCTCTAAGACTTCATGTTCAAAACTGACTTGTCCAGCCAAATAAATAAATGCAAATTCCATGTGAGTGGCTTTGTTGCTGTTCATTGATGTATCCCTAATGCCCAGCACATAGTAAATCCTCACTGAGTGTAGATGAATTAATGTTTCACATCATATGTGCTTCTTTTCTGGTATTTTCTATTTTGGTAAATGTAGTACAGTCCATGTAGTCACTCAAACCAGAAATCTGGATTTATTCTTGACCTCTTCACTTTACTTCATTCTTACATCTTACCAGTCTCCAAGTTCTATACGTCTGACATCCTGAATATTTTTCAAATATGCCTGTTTCTCTACCTCCACTGCCATCACCCAAGTCCAGATCACCATTATCTCCTGCCTGGACCATAGCAATGACTGAACTGGTTTCTCCTCATTTATTTTTTTAAACATTTTAAATGTAGCATACAGAAATGTACATGAAGCTAAAATAAAGTAAGAGCATGCTGGATTTCTACCAAGTGAAAACAGCCTTTTAGCCAGCATGGGGATCAAATAAAAACTTACCAACACTTCTGGGGCTCCTCTGGTGCCCCCTTCTCTTCACTTCCCCTCCCCCATCATCACTATTCTTCCATCCACAACCAATTTGTTTGATCTGTTTTTGAACTTCATGTAAATGAAGTCACACAATTGGAACTCTTCTTCTGGTCTTACTCATTCCACAGCAGGGGGCTCATCCATGTGTTGCATACCCCATTGCATTATTTATTTATTCTATTGTGGCTAGACAGTGAGTGGTTTTTAGTTTGGAGCTACTTCAAGTAGTTCTTATATGTCTCTGGTGACCACACATGTGAGTCACTACTGGGTTTGTACCTGGGAGTGAATCCCTGTGTCACAGGGTATGTAGATGTTCATCTTTAGAAGACTGCCACACCGTTGTCTAGAGAACTTAAACCATTTCCCCTATCACCATCTGCAAACTCATACAGTTTCTTTTCTTTTCTTTCTTTCTTTCTTTCTTTCTTTCTTTCTTTCTTTCTTTCTTTCTTTCTTTCTTTCTTTCTTTCTTTCTTTTCCTTCTTTCTTTCTCTCTTTCTGTCTCTCTTTCTCTTCTTTCTTTTCCTTCCTTCCTTCCTTCCTTCCTTCCTTCCTTCCTTCCTTCCTTCCTTCCCTCTTCTCTCTCTCTCTTTCTTTCTTAGAGAGAGGGGAAGGGAAGGAGAAAGAGAGGAAGAGAAACATCAACCGGTTGCCTCTCACACACCCCACAACAGGGACCTGGCTCAGGATGCAGGCATGTGCCCTGTCTGGGAATTGAACCAGCGACCTTTTGGTTCGCAGGCCAGTGCTCAACCCACTGAGCCTAGCTAGCCAGGGATCATCTAGTACATTTGTTGCCTCAGGCTCAGGATCAGCCATTTCTCCAAGGAGTCCAGATTTTTATCATTAGCTGATTTTTTTTCACATTGTAAAAGTCACATAAATGGAATTTTTAAAAGGATGAAATAAAGTAAAAACAAATGGAAATCCACTCTTCTTTCATACTCAGTGGAGTAAATGGAATATAAAAGATTCTTGTGAAAGACTACATCATGTGTAGAGGAATGAGCCTGAGGGCTGGGGGGTGGGGGTCAGAGCTGCAGCAGGATGAAGGGCTGAAGACATCAGCCGAAAAGGACAACAGAGTTGGTTCCTAGGTGCCATTGCCATCTACTCCTGTGAGGAACCTCCATTAGGGGCCTCCCGATGCTGAGCTGGTCAGAAAGCCTTCTGAGTGTCCCCATTTCCACCTGCTTCAGTGTTTTATATGAGTGAATATAGCCTGAAACTCCACCCAAGCTTGAGGAACACTAGGTATCAGATAGTATTAGTGGTGGTAGCAGCAGCTACAGGTATTTTGGGGATAGTTTTCTAAAAATGTACCAACCTCTAAGGAAAGGTAACAATTTATTCTCAAAAGGCCAACCAGAGTGACTGCTGAGCTTAGTTTCCACAGTGTCCCTGTCCTTCCTGTACTGTAAGCTGTTTTTGCTTCCAGGTAGAGAGTGTTCCAGAAGGTGGGATGAGGGTGTTTGGGGAACACATCCAGTCTACTCTGTCAAGTTTAGTGGCTTGCTTGGCTGAAGCTGAAATGCCAGCCTTGAAAACTGTGAAAGGAAACATTCGGTGTTGCTCTCTAGGAAAGAGACTTCTGTCCTCCTGGAGCTTACCCAGGGCAGGAAAATGTGTCTGCCAGGCCAGCATCATGGCTGATATCAGGAGCCAAGCTTGGGGTTGGCAGCCTCTCTGCCTGCCCTGTTTGCAAGATCAGATGTCAGTCTTGCTCACTCACTAGGAAGGAACAAAGCCCCCATGATCATAACTGCTGGGTAGTTCCCGTTGCAAGACAAGGACAACAAGAATAGGATTGTGAATAGGGACCTGGTTAAAGAAACTGATAGACCTTTTACGATGGAATAAGCCATAGTTAAAAAACAGCAGGGCACCACTGGAGAAGTGCCGAACTCTTGACACACAACCACTGCGTCCAAACCTGTACTAAGAGACTTAATCAAACTCTTGCCGGGCTCCTAACAGCATAAGGCCAGGACGACCCTAGCCCCGCCCCTCCTCATTCCTCCCCCCCCCCCCCCCCGCCAATAATATTCCTGCCTGAAAAAACCTCAACACTGCACTGCTGCCAGAATTTATTGTTTGTTCTAGCCAAATGATTGATGATTGGCCCCTGACCTCCCTTTCTTAGAGCATTTACTAAAAAGAGCTTATAATTGTGAATATATGTCTCTTACAACGCAGATGCCATCTGTCTCGGACCCGAGAGTCATTCCTTTGAAGTGCATTCGCCAGGAAAGACAGGTCTTCTGTCTTCCTGCTCCGTGGGATAGACTACTGACTTCTGTATCTCATAGCTAGCAGACAGACACACCAGGCCTAATCACATCTACACTGACTGGCTTTTTGTGATTTTTCACTTCTCTGATTCTACTGAATCCGGTTCTCTCACTCCCTCATTCTCCCTTTTCCCAAACGCCCAAATTGGATGGCGCGCAGTTCTTCCCCCTGCTATCAGTAGTTATCGAGTAAAATCTTTCCGCCGCTTTAACTGATGTTCTGCTGTATTTGTCTTTGACACGATGCATGTTTTTTCCCTCCATTTTTTTTTTTTTTTATATTGAGCAACCTCTAAGATGTGTCACACAGACACACAGAGTGGGGGCAGGTCAGCGACATATGGTATACTCTCATTTTTGAAACAAAATTCAGAATAGGCGAGTGTGGGAGGAGACTCTAGTCCTGGGAGGCTGGGCGGAATTTGTGCTCCAGGTCTTTAGCATGGTAGCCCCGCGCTCACGCTCGCACTCTCGGGCGGACGCCCTCGCGCAGACAGCCTCAATTTCCCCAGCCGACTCGAGAGTTTAGGAGTGTCCGCCTCGCGGTCAACACCGCTTCGGGTGATGCACCCGGGATCGACAGCTGGCGCCGTGAGACAGCCGGGAAAACCGGAAGTTGGAATGGGGGACGGAAAAAGTCGGCACACCTTACACAGTCAGAAGGCACCAAGTTGACCCCACTCAGCCGTGCAGTCCCCTCGGGGGCGGGGGCGGGGGCGGGAGCGCGCAGGTAAGAGTGGCTAGATAGTATCGTGGAGAGGCGGGGTAGGGGCGTCCGCCAATAACCGACGTCTCCGAGGGGCGGGGCAGCGTCGTTGCCTGGGCGACACGCTCCCAGCATCCGTGCTCTGCACTGGGCAGCTGGGAGGCACCGGCTGTGAGAACCGGCCTTGAGGGGCCTTCAGAGGCTCCGAATGCGTGCCCTCCAGTCGCCTCGCATTAGGGGGCCGCACCGCGGAGTCTCCGTGCCTCTGGGGGTGAGAGGGCTGCGGGCCGCGTGAGCTCTCACAGCCTGGTCTCCAGTAGCCTTGGGGTTTCTTATTTTTCATCTTTGAAAACGTTTTTTTGTTTTTTTTTTTTTCCTGGAACCCCTCCTATCTAATACTTACACTGGTTTTCTCTTTTTTCTGTTTCGATGGTTAACATTTTCTCTACTGTTTATTCGATTATTCCTGTTTTTCATGGCCTCTCCCGCATTCCTTTATTTCCCTCCTGTGGTCTCTCTTTCCTAAGGTTAGATCATCTGCATTGCCCTGTCTTCATCCTGGGCCGCCTTAATCAGTGCAAGATTGTTTTTTATTACTTCAGATTATTCTTTTTTCTGCTTTTTATTAGTCTGGGTGGTGGTTTTGTGTGTGTGTGTGTGTGTGTGTGTGTGTGTGAAGCCCTCTTTAAGACCTGAGTTAGCTCGCAAGCCAGTCTCCGAGGGTAGATCATGATTTATTTCCTGAAGGTAGCATTTCTCCTTACTCAAGCTCAGTGAAGCTGCCTGATATCAGAGTTGGCATTTGTGTTTCCCGTGCCTGAAGCTCGGATAAGCGCCTTCATCCATGATCGATATCCTTGTGACAGGCTCCTGAGGTGAGTACATCCCTTAACTGGTGGCTTGTGAGCTGTGCAGCAGGTGTTTTCTGCTGGAGTTGTATGGAGCTCTTTTTTTAAAAAAAAATTAGTCATCAACATTTAAAAGTCAGGAAATTTCACATAGAAATCTAATTCTTTTTGGCTTCTCTTGAAAAGGCCTCAAGCTTTGGCGATACTAGGCCCCCAGCTGCCCCATTTAAACAAAATATGGTTTCTTTTTTTCTTTTTTAAAGATTTTATTTTTATTTATTTTTAGAGAGTGGAAGGGAGGGGGAAAGAGAGAGAGAGAGAAACATCAATGTGTGATTGCCTCTCACATGGCTTCCCACTGGAGATGTGGCCTGCAATCCAGGCATGTGCCCTGACTGGGAATCAAACCTGCAATGCTTTGGTTTGCAGCCCACATTCAATCCGCTGAGCTATGCCAGCCAGGCCAAAAATATGGTTTCTTGAGGCCTCTGAAGTCCCTCCCTACTCTGGTCTTAAACCCAAGGAACCGGCCATTTGTGCTATGGCCATTTGTGCTGGATGCATTTAGGTTCTGATCTCTGTATTACTTATTTAATCACCCTGCCTGGGTGACTTTATGAACTCTTTCAGGGATAGAAATTATCACACAGCAAATGTGAGAGCTTTTCCTCCTATACCTGCTCAGTCCTAGAGCCAGCCCTGGAAGGGTTTCCTCTCATTTCGAAGAAGGGGCTAATGTCGGTCATATAGCAGGTGCTCAATAAATAGGTTTTGGACAGTTAAATAAATATTAAGACTTCATTTGGTCTAGTGTAGGCAATTCCCTGGTGGGATCCAAATCTCTGGGCTTCCCCAGTATCCCTGAAGTGTCTCTTTTGTCTGGTAGAGAAACTTTTGCCCAGGAATCAGGACACACCCACTTGTTTTTGGACTTGGTGCACTCCTGGGACTGCCTTGGGTTAAAATGATCCATCTCAGGAGCAAGGCCCCTTCTCTGGACACAGTTGTGCTCCTCCCAGATGGAAAAATTCTCACAGACGATGCAATTCATCTTTTCCAGGGCTCCCTGTGGCTTTTTCTCATTTTGTAGCTCTCTCTGGCTTGAAAATAATATTGATGTTTGCTGTACCTTTGTACATCTCTCTTTACCTTGAGGATTAAAACACCTGGAAACCCCTAGGGGTTTGTCACTTCATTAGAGTGACAATAGAATGGATCAGAATCTTAGGACTCCTGAAACATGTTTAACTCCAAAAGTTGAATTGCAATCTCAAAATGCTGCAGTGGCAATCTGAAAGCAGGTCTCAAATGTAGGGAATTTGGGTCCAGGGTTAATTTTTCAAGAAAATCCATTTTTATTTTAATTCTTCTAATTTTTTAAATGTTGGAAACTAAGTTTTTAAAAAATTAAGCCCTTGTGACCTGTGGGCTGGTATAGTGGCCAGTCATGCCTGTCTTACTGGGTGAAGTGGACACATCTCACAGGTCTCCTATGGGCTGAAGGCAGTGGGCTTGGGAATGTTTTTCTGGAGGAACGGGCCTTCCTGGATTTGACCGCAGGGCTGACCCCCACCTGCTTCCTGACTGGGAGGTAGAATATGAAGCCACCAGGGATGTCTGAGGGTCTAGGACCCCATGATAGTGGTTAAGACCCCTTTATTCTTGCTAATACTAGTCTTGAGAGTGAGCTGGGGGTAGGGAACCTTTAGAAAAATCAGACTGATCCCACATCTTTTGCAGGTGTAGTGAATGGAGGTAGGGGGGAGATCCTAGGCCTCTCTTAAGTTTCCTCTTATGGAGAGAGAACTCTGTGCCAGTCTTGTGTGGGGAACCAGAGGACCTGCTGACCAGCCTGGGGGCTTTAAATAAAATCCAGGGATGTCTTCATGGACCTTCAGAAACTCTATGGATCTTCAGAAGCCCGGAAGGGTGCTGAAAAGGATCATCATAAGTCTCCACCCAGCAAAGTGCCCTTTTTCCTGTGAGGGCAGCTGCAGTGCTCTCTCTGAAACGTCAAATATCAAAATCCTCCCATAAAATGTATTTTCCCATATTGACGCTCCTGTTTGGCTGGCATTATGAGTAGTATGTGTCCGGAAAAGTGATTGGGAGCTGCCAGCGTGGATCTGGAGTGACCTGGCCAAGAGCAGGTGCAGCTGGGCTCCGGGCCCTAAACCCCGGAACGCTGGAAACCAGGAACCCTCTAGGACTGTAGCTACGTGGGGAACGGGATCTGGGAGGGACTTCCTGTTGTCCTTAATCCCAGTCTCCACCCGTCTCCCTTTCCCCGGTGCAAGCTGCTGAGAATCCCTTCCCAGGGGAGGGGCCCTCTTTCCGCTGGCTGAGGTGTCCCATCCACCTCCAACTCAGTGAGGATGGGGGGCTGGGGAGGGGACATGGATCCAGAGAGCAGCGCAGGCAGCCAGCTGGCAGGAGGGAACGGGGTCAAAGGTGGAGGGCTTGGAGAAAAGGTGGCCTGGACCCAGATTGAGGAAGGGGAAGGATGGGAGGGACATTCTTTGTCCAGGACCTTGAGGCAGGTGGACTCCCGAACCCAGGCGGGAGGTTACAGCCTCTGGGAGGTCGTTGAGAGTGGGCAGCTCAATTTCTGGACCCCAGGCAGGGCTGAGTCAGGTGGAGCACAGGGTGTATGTGTGTCCTGGACCAGGGAGATGGCAGGGCCTGGATTCCTCAGCTGAGCTGGCTGTGGCAGTTGGGGCCCCACACAGCACCTGTTTTGTAAGATCTCTGCAGATCTTTCGGCTTCTAATGACAGGAGATACAGATTCCTAGTCAGTCCTGGCTTTCCCTGAGCTGATCGCTCTCAGATGCAGGGCTATTGTTTCAGTGATAAAAGGAACAATACAAAATAGCATTCTGTAGAAGCGAGGACCCCAAAAAACAGAGAGGGAGGCATCAAGGAGGCTTTAAAAATTTTTTTTCATTTATTTATTTTTAGAGAAGGGGGAAGAGAGGGCGAGAAACAGCAGTGTGTGGCTGCTTCTTGCAGCTCCCCTCACTGGGGACCTGGCTCACAACCCAGGCATGTGCCCTCGAACCAGCAACTCTTTGATTCACAAGCCTGTGCATAGTCCACTGAGCCACACCAGCCGGACAGGAGACCCTATTTTTGATTGGGAATAGGGATGAATCTGGCCCTCCAGGGGATTTTGGGAGTACTTCAGAGGTGTCCAGGAGACGCTAGCTGATTTTCTTCTGCTCTTCCAGGCTCCTGGCCAGAAGCTGGAGGGGGTTTGGCCAACAGAAGGGGAAACAACTCAGCTGTGCTTTGTAGCTCTGAGATAGAAAATGTCTGCAGACTGTGGAGGCACGCAGGCTCCCCAGGACAAAGAGAGAGTCCAAGAGGTATGGACATGGTGCCAGGTAAGGGAGGTGTGCTCTGGAAAACACTGGAGTTGGATGGGATTGTCACAGCAAGGCATCTGGACCAATGAAGAGTTAGACTCACTGGGGCGCAGGGCTGGTGGTTGGTTGTGAAAGGGGAAATGAAGAGAGGGAAGGTATAATGGGAAATACCTTCTACCTGGGAATTGACTTCTGCGGAACCGCATTGCTTGGCCTGGTGCATTCTGTAGTCAGCAGACCACAGGCCACATGAGGTAGCAGTAGGCTCTGTAGGGGTCCCACTGGTGAGGGTAGCTCTCTGAACAGCACCCAGAACACACAGAGAAGCCTCAGTCTCCCCTCATCCCCACATGCATATATTGTCCGTGGCCTGGGGCCCCTTCTCTCTGGGTCTGAGCATCTGGGCCTTCCTGTGCATGTTGTCTCTGTGTGTATGTGTGTTTAATTACAACCTGTGGGGAGACCGGAGTCACCAGACTTGGAATCAGAAGAATGAGTCCATTGCAGCTGGGTGTGTGACTTTGGGCAAGTACCCTGGCCTCTGGGAACCAGGAGTATGATCTATAAAATGTGGATCATGTACGTGTTGTTCCAACCGTATCACCCATGTGGTTGGGAGGCTCAGAGGAAATTATAGGCACAAGAGTCCTCTGTAAGCAGTTCATCACCTGCAGGAGATCATTACTGTGACACATAATACAAGAACACCCATGACAACTGGAACCCAGGTCAGAGAGACCTGTATCCCCTCACCCAGTAATTCCAGTGGTTGTAAGCCCACACACAAATCAAGTATTAGTTTTTGTTTTTCCTACCATAGAAGCACAAAGAATTGTTACCACTGTTTGGTTTCCTTTCCAAAATGCCATTGTAAAACCCTGCTGATGTTGGGTTTTATCAGCTCACACAGTAGAGTAATAACAATAACTACAGGCACTGTTCTGTGTTTACCCAGAACTTTCTGGAGCAGGCAGCTCTGTCATGCATTGTCTGTGCAGAACGTGGAACAGCTGGGTCTTGGAGCCTGCCTTATCCACGTGGCTCTCAGGAACCCTGACTCCTGCCCTGTGGTCTTTCCCTTTGAGACCCTAACACAGATGGAGGTGGGAGGGATGGGGCAAGAGGGATAGGCATGAATTCCCTGTAGAAGGCTGGCCAGTCTCCATTGCAGTGAATGACAATGAGGTTTCACCAAGGGCCTCCCAGTAGAAGGGAAGTGGAAGTGGAAGTAGAAGGGAAGAGCAGGCCTGCTCCAGTTTCAATGGCTAGTGAGGAGCGGCTGTGAATTTGAGCCCCGGTCACCTGACTAAAGCCTGCTCCTTCCTTTTCCAGAGCACTGGGCTGACGTTGGTGTGATGAAGGGGGGAGGAGTTGAGAGGACCCTGAAGTCCCACTGGGTGGGGCAGCGCTGAAGGGGGTGAGCTGGAGAGGAGCTCTCCTTCTTTCTGACCAAGGTGGGCACCGGGCTTCGGCACACCTGTGGCACCATTGGGCTTTTTTCTCCAAACTAAAATACTCCAACTGCTCCAACCAAACTGAGTCAGGCCAGATATGCCCAAGGCCACATGATGCCTCCCTGTCACCTTAAAGACATGGTGGCCCTAGGGATGACTTGGGAGTCAGATACACTTGAGTTCAAACCCTGGCTGGGCCACTCCATGATCTTGGACTCTTGTCTGAGCTCTGAGCCTGGGTGTATTAGTTTCCTGGGGCCACCATAACAAAGGGTCACAAACTTGGCTTAAACCAACCAGAATTTATTCTCACAGAAACCCAAAATCAAGGCATTGGCAGGGCTCCCTCCCAAGGCTGTAGGTAGGATTGTTCCTGCCTCTCCAGCTGCTGGGGCTCCAGGTGTCCTTGGCTTATGACAGCACCAAGAGATGCATGGCCTCCTTCATGTTCTGTGTCCTCTTTTTATAAGAATACCAGTTATCAGATTTTCAACCCACTGCACTCAGTTTCCTTGTATATTAAAAATAATAACCACACTACTGTTAGAGGTACAAGGCTTGAACTGAAACATGCAGCTGCCCTGTGGGCACTTGGCCAGACCACACCTTGCAGGGTCTTTATAGGCCTGCCTTCCTTCCCTTTTGGGGGTGAGCAGGGTATGCACAGGTCCCTGGGGTTGTGAGAAGGAAGTGAGGCCGGTCCTTCAAGTGTGTCTTATATGTGGTTGTGTGTTCGGCCACATTAGGTGTCTGTCTCTGTAGGGACCCCTGGGTGTGGAGGACATGGCACTTTTCCAGTCTCCATCCCAGTGTTAATGAGGGCTGCCATTCCTAGGTTCCAGGTCATGGGCATCCTTGTCAAGAAGAACCTTCCGAGTCAAAGGACATGGTGCCTTTTGGAGCCACTCAGGAGTCACCCTACATTAAGACAGAGATGCAAGAGCTGCACCCTGAAGGGGCATCACAGGAGGACAGGGCTCAAGGAGCTTGGAGTTGGAGGCGCCTGAGCCAGGGCTGTAAGGAGAAAGCTCTTTTTCTACCTGGTGGAGGTGAGGAGAGGGATGTGGAGAGGTGCTTTCCTGGGCAGCAGCTGTGGGGAGAGGTGGAGGCTCACAGCCCAGGTGGGAAGGGGAAGAGGTTTCTGCCATGTTTAGGAGAGATGCCTGGATGTCTGCCCACTTGCTCTCAGAGGTCACCCTGGCGCAGTCTCAGAGCCTACTGACCCTCTTCTTGGGTGGGGTCGAAGGTGGGGTTTGAGGAAGCTGTGGGTTTGCCAGGCATGAGCTTGCTCAGGGAGCAGCAGGACCCGAGGATGAGGTGGCCTCTCTGAGGACCTCTCTCCTCTCTCAGCCCTCCCTTCCCCCCAGATCCCTGTGCTTTCCCACGAGGGGAGGACCAGAGACCGGCAGATGGCTGCAGCGCTCCTCACTGCCTGGTCCCAGGTGAGTGCCCCGTCCAAGGTTGGGAGGGAAATAGAAAGGCACAGAGGGACGGTGTCTCTGACTGGATCATCCTCTGGATCTCAGCGCTGGACCCGAGGGTCAGGGCCAGAGGGGAATGCGCTGGAGATCCCGAGCTTTGGCCGTGGTGTCAGAAAAGAAGGCGTCTTTTATCTTTGTCTCCTGTCTTCTGCTGTACACAGTCACCTTATTCTTGTCCTAAAAAGCCATCCTTGGGCAACTCCTGCTTCACCCATAGACCTGGGCAGCAGGTTAGGAGTCAGGATCTCATCTTGGCCTCAACGTGGCACCAACAGGCCCCTCCACCATGTTGTGGCTTGTCCTGCAGGGTAGGAATTTTGTGTTGTTTCAGATGCCAGTGACCTTTGAGGACGTGGCTCTGTACCTCTCCCGGGAGGAGTGGGGGCGGCTGGACCACCCGCAGCAGAGTTTCTACCGGGATGTCCTACAGAAGCGAAATGGGCTGGCCTTGGGTAAGGGCTGGCATTTGTGTGGGGTAGCCACTTCCTGAGGCCCTGGATGTCAGAGGTGGGGTCTGTCCTGCCATCATCTCCCAGCTTTCCAAGGCTTAAAAACTGCTCATTGTTCACGTAGGTGGTATTTTTCCACAGAACCTTCCTAGTGATGGGCATGCTTTGTGTACGGGCTGCAACGGTAGCCATGAGTCAGATAGTGGCTGTTGAGCTCTAGAAGTGTGGCTAGAGTAACTGAGTATTTAATTTTATTTCATTTTAATCAGCTCAAATTTGAACTGAAATAGATACATGTGACTAGTTGGCTGCTGTATGAGACAGTGCCAGCCTAGAGATTCCACTTCTCTTTGGTTCTTCTGTGGTGCTTTCTCCGAGGTTTCACCCCTCTCCCTCGAAGCCCAGTGTTAGCTCCCTCGAAGCCCAGTGTTAGATGTGTTTGAGCAGAAAACCGGGCTTTGGGCTCAGGGCTGTGTGTCCGAGGTAGGGGGACATAGCGTCAGTAACGTCTGCGCTGAGGGGCATGTCCTCGTCTCTGAGGGGCCTGGGCTCTCTTGGTGTTTCTCACAGTAAATAGTTATGTCCCCAGGCTTGACTCCTCACTTTCAGACTATCGTTTTCTTGGCAAACTTTAATGAGATCTTATGGAAACCTCAGTGTGCGTTCATTGTTACCCATCCATTCAGTTAGTCTTTCTGTCAGCACACACCTGTTGCACAACTGCTAGTGCAAGCACAGCTTGGGGCTTGGTCATGCCACCCCTTGACTTCAGTGGTGGGTCGAGACCCTCCCTTGTCCCTGTTGGGCCCCAACATCACAGCCACCCTGCTCCCTCCTTTAATTATCTGAGGTGTGTCTACCACCTGTTGTTAACACCCACAGGGCCCCGATCAGCAGGTCTGGGCAAGTCCTGGGAGATCAGAGGGAACCTAGCACCCATTTGTGGCCTCATGACAGATCTCACCAACAACCTAAACCAAGGGTCCCCAACCCCTGGGATACAGACTAGTACCGGTCCTTGGCCTGTTAGGAACCGTCCCTGAGGGAAACTTGCCTGAGCTCCCCCTTACCAGTGCATGGAAGAAACGGTGCTTGGGGACCGCTGACCTAAACCACCCAGTTTGTCCAACACATTCTCTTCCTTCCATGGGGCTTGGATCAGGACATGGAGGCAGGCTCTCTGCTCTCTTATTGAGTTGACCAGAATTCTCGGGCCCTCATCCAGGGACTTGGCAAATGGACCTTTAGTCCCTGACTTCTGGGTGGCATTCCTGGCCCCTCATGTCCCAGGCCCTTTCTTTGCCCCAGGCCCTCCCCAGGAGCCCTTACTGTTGATCGTTCTGGGAAGGGGTGGGTGCAGGAGTGGGAGACATTGCTGGGCCCACAGCCAGGGCTGTGTGAAGAAGGGGGTTGCCAGCAGCTGACCTGACCCAGCCCCTTCCCCATTACTGCTGGTGCTCCTTCAGGGAAACAAAGCAGAGCCCTGCCTCAGCCCTGAAGAGAGTATGTCTAGTAGTGACCCTGGAACGTGCTTCCTAGAGAGGATGGCCATGTGACCCCAAGCAGTGTTAGAGGTCATGTGGTGTTACCTGGTATTTCCACAGTTGCACCCGTTCCCCTTTTGCTCTGTCAATTCTAAGGGGGCGGTGTCTCCTGCTGGGCAGCCCAGGAGCTCTGTCACTGAGCACTGCATTTCTTTTTGGCCAGGGTTTCCTTTAAGCAGAACTTTCTGGGCCTCCCGAGTACAGGGCAAGGGTGAGGCCTCAAGTTCGTGCCTGCAGATGGGAGAGGAAGAGAAGAGAGGTGCATTCAGAGGTAGTGGGTAGGCAGTGGGTTGTCACTGTCACTCCTAGGTGCCCCTTGTCAGTGCAGGCTCTGCTTCCTGTGGGGTGCGGACACATGGCCCTACCTGGGGCAGGGGCTAGCCTTCCCTCCTCTGCAGAGGGTGGCTCTCATTTCCCAGGTTCCCCTGAGGTCCTTGCAGTTTTCTCCACCTCCAGAATTCCCTTGAGTCCCTCACAAAAGCTTCTCTCTGGTTGGAAACTCTTTTTCCAGGAATGGCAGACGTGAGAAAGGAAGAGCCGACCTCATCCCCAGCAGTCCCTGGGGATGGGAAGTCCTTCAAGGCCAGGGCAGGGAGAGCCCAGGAGGATGTCCTGCAGCGTGGGCGACAAGCAGCCAGTGGCCAGAGATTGGGGCCAGCCAAAGACGACAAGCAGCCAGGTCCCCAAGAGGAGACACAGCTGGAACCAGTCCTGTCTGGCACAGGCCTCCCAGAACAACCCAGCAAGGGGGATACAGATACTCCCGAGAGCAGCAAGGAGGCCCTGGTCCCTGATGGTGATGCCTGCAAGAAGACCTACAAGTGTGAGCAGTGTGGCAAGGGCTTCAGCTGGCACTCACACCTGGTGACGCACCGGCGCACCCACACGGGAGAGAAGCCCTATGCCTGCACAGACTGCGGCAAGCGCTTTGGCCGCAGCTCGCACCTCATCCAGCACCAGATCATTCACACTGGTGAGAAGCCCTACACCTGCCCCTCCTGCTGGAAGAGCTTCAGCCACCACTCTACACTGATCCAGCACCAGCGCATCCACACAGGTGAAAAGCCCTATGTGTGCGACCGCTGTGCCAAGCGCTTCACCCGCCGCTCGGACCTGGTCACCCACCAGGGCACGCACACGGGTGCCAAGCCCCACAAGTGTCCCATCTGCAGTAAGTGCTTCACACAGAGCTCAGCCCTGGTCACCCATCAGCGCACTCACACGGGGGTCAAGCCCTACCCATGCCCCGAGTGCGGCAAGTGCTTCAGCCAGCGCTCCAACCTCATTGCACACAACCGTACGCACACCGGGGAGAAGCCCTATCACTGCCTTGACTGTGGCAAGAGCTTCAGCCACAGCTCACACCTCACCGCCCACCAGCGCACCCACCGTGGTGTGCGGCCCTACTCCTGCCCTCTCTGCGGCAAGAGCTTCAGCAGGCGCTCCAACCTGCACCGGCATGAAAAGATCCATACCACAGGGCCCAAGGCCCTGGCCATGCTGATGCTGGGGGCAGCGGGCGCTCTTGCAGCGCCCCCATCTACTCCCACCTAGGAGGCCGAGAAGGAGGCACCAGGCCCTGGGGAGGAGTGAGGGCAGCTATAATGGCAGTGAGAGGGAGCGAAGGGAGTTTGGGAGGTGCTGGCACGGGGTGGGGCACGGCAACATGGGAACGAGTTAGGGTGAAAAGCAGGCAGGCTAGCTGTAAATTAAAGGCCTTGGAATTCAAGCCATGGCCTACTGCTCCGTCTTGGGGTGGGTTGGGGTAGGGAGGTATGGGGTGGTTGGGGGAGCTGGTGGCTGACCCCAGACTGGGAGGCTCCTGTGTCCACGACATGTCCTCAAAAAGGCATCGCGGAGTCATTGCTTTTAGGGGCCTCTTCCCCCATCCTTGACTTGGCTTGGAGCCCAATCCAGATGGTTGGGACCATAATTCTCCAGGTAGAAGCTTCTTAGCATAGAGGTTTTAAGACCTGAATCTAACCAGCCACTTCTGGAATTGTGGACCCCCTGCTGGGTGCCCTGCAGCTGCCTCACTTTCATCCCAGGGGCATTGCCCATTGAGCCCTGGCTCCCTTGGCTTTTTGGGAGCCAGGGGTGGAACAGAGCCAGCTTGGGAGTTCATACTTATTGTCTCCTGCCTGCCCTGTCTCTTGGTTCAGGCACCAAGGCCAAGTTTTATGGCTGGACATTTTGCATCTGCTACTGGGGCCCATTGGTGATCCAGCGAGAATTCCACACTTGTTGGGGACCAGTGTCCCTCCTTGGCCTCTTCGCACATGTCCTTTATAATTTGCCCTACTCAGCTGTGCCTGGTGGTTTTACTCCTGGCCTTCTGGTTTTAGACTTCTGTAGTTTCTATTTCCTATTCTCTACTATTTTTCCTGGGAGGGGTGGGCTCAGCCTGCTTATTATCCAAGATTCACAGCTTAGCTTGTGGGATAACATGCAGTTCTGACCTTGATGTCTGCATCATGGAGGTCATTGAAATCCCACCTATCTCTTTGGATCATGGAGCCACCAGGGTGGCTGCAGCCCTGGTTGGCTCCCGGCTCCTAAGGGACGAAGTGGCTTGAACAGGATGGCAGACTGAGAATAGTAATAATAGCTGCCAGTTGTTGGGCAGCCACCCTGCCAGGCTTGGGGCCAAGCACCCTATATATGTCACCTACAGTGCCGAGCAGTGGGTTTTATTCTAGTTTTATAGATGAGGAAACAGGCTGGGAAAGAAGTCCATTAACTTTCGCAAAGCCATACAACCAGAAAGCTGGAAGCTGAGGTTCAGAGCCAAGGATTTTACCCTGTAAAGAATACCCCTATTTCCACACACCCCAACAGCTATTGACTGTAATTAACGCATGATATTATGAGGCAGGGCTGTCTAAAAAGAGTAGACAGACAGCAGACTTGACCTGGCATGCTGGACTCAGCTGGAGATGGGGAGAGGAAGGAGCATATAATCATTGGGATGCCAGGAAGCTGCTGACCAGTGGGAGCCAAGGCAGGACTCGGTGGCATCTGGGAGGTCTCAGTGGGATCTAGGGTTAAGTTGCTGGTAAGAAAGAAAGCAGTTTCCTCCCTTCTGCTTGTTTTCATGGCTCTGCTCACAGCCAGAAATGGGATTTCTCTGCTTGGCTCAGGGTGAGGGCTGATAGGGCTCACACACAAAAGCAGGCTTGCTACCCCCAGGAGCTGGTTTTCTAATGAAGGAGACGGAGGTGGGAAGGAGACTTAACACTGGGAGCTGCCATCACTTGGCACAAGCTTAGCAAAGAATATTCATTCGCACAGTGGCTATTTGCTTTCTTGGGCTTCACAGCTAGCATGTCAGGACTTGAACCACTTAGAGGTCTCTCAGGTGAGTGAAGGAGTCATATAAAGGCTCCACTCTGGCCTATGAAGAGCTCAGAGACCACAGCATCCAGGAGAAACGGTTTTCCCTTTTCATAGCAGGGTGCAGAGGAGTGTGATTTCAAGAACCCCACAGGTTTCTGTCCATTCCTTCCTGGATGTCTGTCCAGAGGTCACCATCCTGGCACAGACCAGGAGAGAGCATTTAAGAGTGGAACTTGGCAGTTTGGAAAATATTTTGAGAAGAGCCACTAAGACTAAGGATGTATCTGGGGCATCGTGGAAGGGCCTAGAATGTCAGGATGAAGGGTGTTCTTGATTTGGTGACTGACGGACCACCACTGAGAGATAGCAGGCTGGGGGTCTTGGTATTTCTGGGTATCGGTTGAGAGGAAAGCTTAGAGGTGTAGCCTGCTTCCTCCTTGCTTCTCACACCTGACATACCAGTTTCAGGGCACTGCGGAACCCGACCTGAATACTTACCGTTGACCTCCACGCAGTCAGGAGGAGGGCGATAGAATATTTCCTCCACCCTCTATGCAGCCCTAGACTCAGCCCAGGTGCTGGCTGAGGACACTCAGGGGCCAGCTGGTCACGCAGCCCTTGCCTTGCGGAGGCGTCGGCTTCAGCGCAGAGTTTTCCTGGGACAGCTCCTCTCGAGCTTGAGTAACCACACCAGGCAGTGAGTCTGAAAACCCCTTGGGGTCTCCAGAGCCCCCTACACCCGGTGGTCTCACTGCTCGGAGAGCCAATTCTGGAAGGCCCCGCCTTTAGCCAATCAAGGGTCCAGACGAAGAGAGAGGCGGGCACTATTAAAATTGGCCAATCACCGCTGACAACCTCTGAGGACAGTTTTGGCCCCCACCCCCTATGCCCCCAAGCCGCGTGACTGACAGCGCTATTGTCCCTAAACTCATGACTTTCCCTTTTCCTCCTTCATTCCGCGCGTCAGTTGCAGAAAGAACCAACCACCCATGATAGGACTCCTGGGATTCGCTGCCAACCCTTGAGCCTTTAGAGCCTTCCCTGGGTCTACCACAGAAATGCCGAGCCTCCTGCCGTCCTAGACGGGTTGCGGATGGAGGGACAGAGCCACTACCGGCTTCTCTTGTGAGCCCCAGCATCCCGTTGCTGTCCCAGAGACCCCGGGAGACTGAGCCTGGCAGCCACTTTTGGCCCCAGTGGTGACCATCTCGTACGCAGGGCAGGGAGAGTCCCGACCTGTGCACCTGGCCCCAGCCCGGACGCCTCCGCTGGCACTCGAGCACGCTCCAAGCCCGGAGCAGGGCCTGACGGTGCTGCCAGTGAGAGTCGGGCGCGAGTGCGACAATGGCCTGGGAGACTGCGATCCTCTTCAGGGGGAGCCGGGTAAACTGAGGAGGCCAGTGCAAGGTGAGGGGGTGGTAAAAGGCATGGAAACGTTAGACAGGGTCTTTGCTGCATTCACTCATTCATTTTTCAAATATAAAATGAACGCGTTTCAGGTTCTTTGCTAAATGTTGAGGAATAACTGATGAAAAAGCCAGACAAAAGCCTTGCCCTCATGGGGTTGGCTGTAGTGGGGGAGACGGGCAAGCAGATAAATGACACATACATTAATTTGAAGTGACAAATGCCAGAAAGAAAGAACGGGTGAAGTAATGGAGGATTCTAGGAACCAATAGAGAAGGCAAGAGGGGGACATTTAAGCTGAGACTTAAAAGAATGACAACATGCCGTTTTACAAGAATTTGGGGGCAGAACCTTCTAAGCTATGAAAACGAAATGAATAAAGGCCCTGACAGGAAGAGAGAGATGTTCCATGAGTTGAAATTGCAACCCTGGTGGGAGGGAAGGTAAGCTAGAGAGGTGAGACTTGTGAGGGGCAGTGGCCTGAGGTTTCTCCCTGGTGTCTCATGGAGCAGCGGTCCCCCAACTTTTTGGGCACCAGGGGCCGATTTTTCCAAGGACGAAGGTGGGGGAGGGGGCAGGCGGGTCAGAGGGTGCCCCGGCGAGCTTCACACGCTGCCTGCCTGCTGTCTGCTCACTGCTGGTTCCTAAACCGGCACCGAGCAGTACCGATCCACTGCCCGGGGTTGGGGAACCCTCTCATGGAGAGTGGAGAATGGGAGGTTATGAGGATGGTCCAACCTTCATGCTCATGCTCCTGATCCAGCCTGTGACATGTGGTCAGGCAGGCTTCCTGCCTGGGCTCCAAATGCACTACTCTCTGACCTGAAACTCCAGGAGCACTCCAGTTTTTCTGTTTTCAACTAATAAATCTCTAGGCCGGCCGTGAAGGTTAATACAAGTGAACAGGCCACTGACCAGACCAAAGTTGAACTAAAATCTAGAAGGGAAAGTGGAAAAATGCCCAGAGGGCCTAATTCCTGCAGCCTCTCATATGCTCTTGTGTTCCTATGGTCACACCCATGACAGATTCCTGGTGATGATAATTCTCTGGGGCTGACCACTCTTTATCGAGCACTTACTGTATGTTAAGAGTTAATAACTGGGCTAAGTGGTCTACTTGTGTTCTCTCATTTATTTAATCCTTGTAACAACCCTGTGAGGTAGTGAGTCAGGATTCAGCTCAACTCCAGATAACAGAGATCCAAAATAACAGGGTCTTAAAACAAGACTGAAGTGTATTTTTCACGATATTGTGTGGCGGTGAGCCAGAGGTAGGCAGCCTATGGCAGAACCGGTGTGGGAGCCCTAATCTACACAGTCAACAGAAACCCAGGCTCCTAGCCTGCTTGCTGCTCCACCACTATTAAAAGTGCCATTTCAGGATCCCAAACCAAGGATTTATACATGCTGATTTTAAATTAAAAATTTTATATATATTTTATTTTGGATTTCAGAGAGAAAGTAAGGGAGGGAAAAAGAGAGGGCAGAAAACATCGATTGGTTTCCTTCCATACACACCTCAGGGGACCAAATCTGACTGGCATGTGCCCTGACCAGGAATCGAACTGGCAACCTTTCGGTTCACAGGACAATGCCCAACTGACTAAGCCACACCAGCCAGGGCTTAAATTAAAAGTTTTAAAAATTTATCAGTTTTAGAAGAAGGGAGAGACACACATTGATTTGTTTTTCCACTTATTTATGTATTCACTGGTTGATTCTTTTTTACAAAGATTTTATTTATTTATAGAGAGAAGGGAAGAGAGAGAGAAGGAGAGAAACATCGATGTGTGGTTGTCTCTTGCATGCCCCCAACTGAAGAACAGGCCTGAAGCCTAGACATGTGCCCTGACTGGGAATCAAACCAGCGACCCTTTGTTTCACAGACCAGCACTCAATCCACTAAGCCACACTAGCCAGGGCTCTTTGGTTGATTCTTGTATGTGCCCTGACTGAGGGTCAAACTTATAACTTTGACTTTTCAAGGCAATGCCCTAACTAACTGAACTACCTGGCCAAAGCCTTAAATTTTTTAATCAAATGGGAATACTATGTACGACTTTATATTAATAATTTTCAAATTATAGATGAAAATGATGATTTCCTAGAAAAAATAACTATCGACATTTATTCAAACAAAAAAAATTTAGTTAAGAAGACAGAAATTCTGAATATTCAATATCCCACAGAATTATAAAAATATCTACTTTTTCTATTTCTGTTTTTTTAAATCCTCACCCAAAGATATGTTTACTGATTTTAAAGAGGGAAGAAGGGAGCGAGAGAGAGAAAAAACTCAATGTGAGAGAGAAACATCAATCAGTTGCCTCCCATACACATCCCAATTGGGGATCGAACCTGCAAACTTTTGGTGCACAGGGCAACTCTCCATCCAACTGAGTCACCTGGTCAGGGCTCTATTTTTTAAAAAAGATTTTATTTATTTATTTTAGAGAGAGGGGAAGGGAGGAAGAAAGAGGGAAAGAAACATCAATGTGTGGTTGCCTTTTGTGTACCCCCTACTAGGGACCTGGCCCAAAACTCAGGCATGTGCCTTGACTGGGAATTGAACCAGTGACCCCTTGCTTTACAGGCTGGCACTCAATCCACTGAGCCACACCAGCCAGGGCTCTATTTCCATTTTGAATGAAAGAACTCTTAGTAGGCAGTAGTGATAGACAGGGTATACATTCTGGTTGTAATAGAAATCCAAAATAACAGTGGCTGAAACATGATATCTCTTTCTCTCTAACATCACCTGCCTGGGTATAAATCCAGGGCTAGTTTGGTGGCTGCACAGTCATCCAGGAGCTCAGGAACCTTCCATCTCATTGCTTTGACACCCCTGGGTGTTACTCTCATCTGCATGATCCATGCCGCTACATCCAAATTCCTACAAGCAGTTGGGGAAAACAAACTAGAAAGACATGACCCATCCCTTTCCATTAAGACTTATGTGTCATGTCTGCTCACATCCCATTGGCTTCTATTTAATTACATGGCCATACTTAGCTGCAGGAGAGGCTGGTAAAATATGTTCTTTATTCTGAATAGACATGTACCCATCCAAAAATTCTTACTATAGAAGGGGAAAACTGATGCTGGGGAACAACTAGTAGTCTTTTGCTACAAATGAGAATAGGTGCTTCTTAATATGATCATGGCTATATATCAGAGACAAACAATAAACAATCATAAATCATTAAAAGTATTTTCATTAACCAAGGCAATGCTGTCTGCTGTCCTAACATTGTTTAGGGAGTTCTGGACAATACTATTAGACTAAGGCCATAATGAATATAAATTCTGGAAATGAGTATACACTTATGGCAGAAATTTTATGTTTAAAATTATAGATTATATTTTCTAGCTAGAAAAATAAACTAAAACACTATCAGAGGAAAAGAAGCTGCAATTAGGTTGTCAATTTCAATATATTTGTGTGCAATTATCATCAACCAATAATTCCCAATAGAATATATGGTATGTGTTTGTTACTAATTTGTCTCAGCCCCCAAAACACTCTTTTTGTCCTGCTCTTTGTGATACTGAAGCTGGCCAGGTCCTATAGACATTTCTCTTTTGTTAGACAATTTGATGTTGGTTTTTGCCAATAGAGGGATTTGGAAGAACACTGTAGGGCCCACACCTGTGAAAGGGGACTTTCAAGTTCCTTCTTCCCCATGTGGCTTTCTATTGAGGCCATTAAAGGGAGGGGGAGCCCAGTAGCATCCACTTAAGCAGTCTTCATAGACCATTCTTGGCTCATGTTCTCCAGCAAGTTCCTCAAGCAAATGCAACAAAGGGTATGTAGAAATGTAGAAAAAATGGAAACTAAATGTCTAAGAGTAAGGGGCTTTACATAAAATATTGAACTCCCATCTATGGGAGCTTTAGTGTGCAGCTCTTGAAACAGATGAATTCTTTTATTTATAAATGTTGATATGGAAAAATATCCCTGATAGACTTGAGTCAACAAAACTCTACTAGGTGGAGGAGGGTGTAAGGGAGATAAATGGTGATGGAAGGAGACTTGATTTTGTTAACCAGTGTCACCCCAATAGATTCAATAAAAAGGAAGGAAATGTTACTTATATAGAATGATTCCAGATTTGTCAGAAATATTCATGTCCTGGCTGGTGTGGCTCAGTGGGTTGGGCGTCCTGCAAACCCAGGAGTTATCAGTTGGATTCCTGGTATGGGCACATGACTGGGTCGTGGGCCAAGCCGCCAGTTGGAGGTGCCGGAGGCAGCTGGTGGAGAGAAACATTTTTCTCCCTCTTTCTCCCTTCCTTCCTCTCTAAAAATAAATAATTTTTTAAAGAGGAAATATTCATAGATGTAGAACAGACTAAAATACTGAGTGCTTATTTCTGAATGGCCTCATTAGAAGTATTTTAAACTTTCAGTTATTCAACAAATATTGTGCCAGAAACAATTCTAGGTATTGGGAGTAGGGCAATGAAAACAGTGTGACTTCATGGAGCTCATAGTTGAGTAGTAAGAGATGAATATTACACAAATATGCCAGGTACTGATAAAAGAAAGAAAAATAAGGGCAGAACCATGGCGGGTGTGTATGTGCTGCTTAGTTAGGAAAAGCCACTTTGAGGGAGTGACATTTGAGCAGTGTGAGGAACCTAGCCTTGGGAATATCGATACCTTTATAATTTCCCATATTTTATTAATTTTCCACACTAAGCATGCAGTGCTTGCATAATCAACATAAAGCTTTTTCTATTTCAGAAAAGTATCTGGAGCCTCAGATCTCCAAGTAGAGGAGTAAGTAGAAAGAGTAGGAGCAGGCCCAAATAAGTGGGCAGTTGAACCCAGAACTTCCGGACACAGCTCGCCGGCTCTAGATTCAGTCTGGCCCGGGGACTCCCTCCGCTCGGGTTGCCGGTGGAAGAGCACGGGACTGCCTGGGGTCAGAGTCCCCGCCTGAAGAAAACCCTGCCGAGCGACCCCGGCCGACGCTCGGGTATGGAGAATAGCCACAGAAGGCTCCGTGCTCCTTCCTGGGCTGCATTTCCCATGCTCACCGAGAGTCACAGCAGCAGAAAAATCTGAAGGATAAACCAAGAGCGATTACAGCAGGAGTCTAAAAGTAGATCATAACCCACCGTCAGGGGTGTTGTCGTGTCTGGTACCGCTGCCTTCTAATTGGTCAGCCCTGTAAATTCTCCCAAGTTCATTGGTCATCTATCACGGCTTATGACAAGCTCAATGGGAGAACAGCCTCCTGGGGAGTGTAGTTCCAAGTACTTAGAGTCGCGCATGCGCTGTGCCTTTTCCCGGAGAGCTCTGCGCGAACTTCCGGTACCGGGATCTGGAGGCTGAACAGGGAACGCCTGGGCGGCTGTGGGAGGTGTGTGGCTCGGGGGCGGGACCGTTGACACGGCCTCCGGACTCCGAGGTCGAGCGCGGGTCTCCGGGTGGGTGGGGTCCGCGCCCTCAGGCAGAGGCTGAAGTGGGGGAAGTGCTGCGGGGAGCCCGGGCGTATGTACCCCTTCCCTGCCCCGCCGCCTCTCAGCTCCGCGCAGGCGAGGCTGCTGGGGACCGAGCACGGGGCTCCGGCCCGGTCCGCGTTTCCGCCCGCCGCGTCCTGCCAAGCGACCCTGGTGAGTCCCTCGCCCTCTCCGAGCGGACCGTCCTCGGTCACTAGAGGATGAGAATGGAGCGAGTACCTTTGAGGGATGTTGTGAAGAGTACAAAAATAAAGTGCTTTCCCTGGCCGGGTAGCTCAGTTGGTTAGAGCGTCGTCCGGATACCCGGCGGTTGCAGGTTTGATCCCCAGTTAAGGCACAAATAAGCAACCAATGAATGCATAAATAAGTGGAACAACAAATATGTTTCTTTCTCTATATATCTCTATCTCTCTACCTCCTCCCTCCCCTCTCCCCCTCTCCCTTCCTCTCTAAAATCAATAAAAATTAAAAAAAGAAAGAACAAAGTGCTTAGTGTGTAGTCGAGAAAAGGACTGGAACCAACCTGAATGCCTTACTCGGGTATTGGTTCAGAAACTGGAATACATCCAAACCGCCAAATCTAGAGCAGCTAATGAAGAAGCATTGTTAAGTGGGAAAGCATATTTCAAAATAGTTTGTGCAATAAGACCTCAGTTACGTGAAAACACAAAAACACTTTTTCATTTCTGTAGGTACACTTTTAGTAAATGCACAAGGAAAGGCCTGGGAGTTCAAATGTCAGATTGTTAATGGGAGGGTGCACAGTGTTGTGGAATGGAGAGTTTCTCTTTTATGTATTTCTGTATTGTGTAAATCCCCCCATTTTTATTACAGTGGTTTGTATCACTTCTTTATAGAATCAAAAAAACAAAGTTCCAAAATACACGTTTCAGGACTTTTGTGAAGAGTGGCAATATAAGGTATAAATATATGTCATACATTCACATGCACCCAAGGATAAATGGCTTAGGAAGGTGCCTGGTGCCTGTGAACCCATCGCTGACACCCCTGGGCCACATGTAATTGGAATTCAAAGGTTTTTAAATTTGAGACTCAAGGATACAGAGAACAAACTGACAGCTGTCAGAGGGGAGGGGGTTGGGAGCTGGGTAAGAAGGGTGAAGGGATTAAGCAAAGATAAAAAAGGAAGACTCCTGGACTAGACTGCAGTATGAGGAGGAATGCTGGAGAGGGGGGAGGGGAGTGGTGGAAGGGGTAGAAGAAGGTAAAGGGGGGAATAAATGGTGATGGCAGGAGACTTGACTTGGGGTGAACACCATACAGATTATGTAGAATTGTATAGCTGAAACTTGTATAATTTTAGTAACCAATGTCACCACAATTTATTCAATTAAAAAATGTTTTCAAATTTTAGAAAGATAATACAGTACATGTGGTATGTTGGGTAACCCTTGCCAGCAGAATCTAGGGCAACACTCAACAATCAAACGTGTTAATTATTTTTTTTATTGAAGTGTAATACACAGAAATATGCATAGTAAGGACAGCTTGATAAATTTTTACAAACTGAACAAATACATTAATATTTATGCCATAAAACATATAAACATTTACGTTAAGTGTGATAAATGGAGATTACACACTTGCTCCTATCAGTAGGCCAGATGGTAAAAACCTGGGAGTTTGGGATTTCAGAGCTGAGGATAAGGGGCTGTGGACCTGTATCGGTAGGAGACTGTGACAGGAGCAAGACATTACTGGAGAGCCTAAAAAAGGCCTCAGGGCTGGTAAAGGATAGAAGCCAAAGTCCTTGGATGTCCCTCCAGGCTGGTGTTTGCTTCTGTACCTCCCCTGCTCCTGCTATTTTGCTCTTTCCCTAGGAGTCCAGATGCTGGCCCAGCTGCCACAGGAAATCCCTCTGGGACACTGAAGGGCAGGCTCCTGGGTGGAGGCCCACCAACCCTGAGCCTTAGGCCAGGGGAATGGCAGCCCCCTCGGAGCCTCAGGACCAGGCCCCAGGGGAGGGAGAAGGGCTTCTCATTGTGAAGGTGGAAGATTCCTCCTGGGATCAGGACTCTGCCCAGCAAGAGGATGGCAGGGATTCTGAGGCCTGCCGCCAGCGCTTCCGGCAGTTCTGCTACAGGGATGTGGGTGGGCCCCATGAGGCCTTCAGCCAGCTATGGGAGCTCTGCTGCCGCTGGCTGCGACCTGAGCTGCGTACCAAGGAGCAAATCTTGGAGCTGCTTGTGCTGGAGCAGTTCCTGAGTGTGCTACCTGGGAGTGTCCAGGACTGGGTGCGAGAGCGGTGCCCAGGGAGTGGCGAGGAAGCTGTTGCCTTGGTGGAGGACCTGCGGAAGCAGCCAGTGAAAGCGTGGCCACAGGTGAGGGGCGCCTCTCACATGAGTCTGCCAGGGATGGTGGGCACTCAGAGCCAGAGGGAATGTTCACAGGCAGGTGCTGCCTGTCTGAAAGACACTGTCCAAATAAGCCTCGTTTCTTTTTGGTGACTTTGGAGGGCAGAGCAAGATCAAAGTGGGCATGTTCCAGGAAGGCAGGTTTTAGCTCCACATAGGCTCTGCAAATGTTTATTCATGTTCTCCTCTAGGCCAGGCACTGGGAATATAGTGCTATGCATAGTGAGAGCACCAGAGGGGGCATGAGAAGGTAGAGCTGTCCATGTGAACCCTGCTGTCTTATGGGGTGTTGGGTCCTTGACCCTGGCAGCATCTGGGGATGTGCTAATGAGTGACTGGGGTGTGGGGTTCTGCCCTTCACAGGAAGGTCTCCCCTCACACTCCCTTGCTAAATGGCTCTGTGATTCTATCCTTTGGGTGCTGGTTCTTGCCTTGTGCTTGATCAGGGCACATGGCAGTGCCTGGTATCACATTCTCCGCTGGACTTTCCTGGGGTCCCGTATTGATCTCGCCCCAAACCCCAGCCTCCTGAGGGATATGTCCTGTGTCTCCTTCCCAGGGATTAAATTCTGTCTCCTCTGTCTGGTCTCAGTGCTGATGAGCGTATTGTGGTTCCTGCACAGGACGTGCCCTCAGAGGAGGTAGAACCTGAGGCTGCAGTCCAGGGATCCCAGGCCAAGGGACCTCCCCCAAAGGTGGGAGCACAAAACCAGCCACCTGTACCTTGGGAGCAGCACAGCCATGGTGGTGAGTAAGCTTGTAGGCTGCAGAGCAGCTGGGCAGGGGTCTGGCTCCTTCCCGGGCATCGCCCCAGGAGTAGCAGGAAGGTACTTATTCCATGAAGCTTAGGCATGTGCGTGCATGTGTGTGCCTGCACGTGCACAGAAGCCTGTGGGGATTCTCATTCCTGGCTTCAGCTGGCCCCTCTCAGGCTTGTTTTCTTTCAGTCCAGCTTCCTGCTCTTAAAGAGGGGAGAACCAAACAGAAAACAAATGCCTGCCTTGCCTCTGAGATCCGTGTGAGTTACCAGTCCCTTCATTCCCTTTGAGGCCATTGGTACTTTCCTTCTCGAAACCTCTTCAATCCACCCTGCTGCCTCCTGGGCCCATCCTGTTCCACATCCCAACCCTCTTCCTCTCCCCACCCGTAGCTGCCTGGGGAGTCCTGAGCAAGGTATCCCTGAGTAGGGTTTCTCTCCTCTTTTCAGGGACCTGTGACATTTGGAGATATTCCCTTCTATTTCTCCCAGGAAGAATGGGGGTCCCTGGACCATGCTCAGCGGGATCTTTTCTGGGACATAAAGCGGGAAAACTCCCGGAACATTGCCCTGGGTAAGCAGTAGGTGCAGCCAGGACCCTTGGGATCCTTAGCTCCTTTGAGCTGGAGGCAGCAGCCTCCTAGGGGAGTCCTAGTAGCTGAGGGGGGGCCAGGCAGGCCACATTCCTCTGCACATCCTGCTGGAATCCTCAGTCTTCCTCCTCACTCCCTCTCTGCTGGCTCCAAAGTGGGCTTTCGCCAGCTCTCTCCAAGAGCCCTGGCTAATTTCTTTTTTGTGTGTTAATATTCATTTTTCTCTGGCTGTGAACATATATTGAAATATGATGGGTGCTTACAACAAGCTAGCGCTCTGCTGAGCATCTGTATGGACAATTTGTCAGGTGATTCTCACAGACCGGTGCATAAGTGTTGTCCTTGTTTTATAGACAAGAGACCTGAGACTCCGATCAATAGACACCAAAGGGACAGAGTTGGGACTCAGTCCAAATGGTGGTCACAAGGCCCCCCAGGCTGCCTTGTGAGGGGGTGCCAGCAGTGAAAACACATGCCGTGCACCGAGGCCTGGGCCCAGTGCAGTAGAGGCCTCACTGCCGGGTCCCTCTTCAAGCCAGGGCCGTTCTGAGCACTGGGGGTCATCTCATTTAGTTCACACAAGTCAAGGGTGTGGGCTGGGATCCCTGTGGATCCAACTCTGTTCTTGAGTCAACGAGCCAAAAGTTTGTGTAGTGAGAGGAACCACAGTAGCTGAACCCATGTGGTTCCTCAGTTTCTGGTAATAAGTAGTGAGAGTTTGGAATATTTACGAACTTTACCTTCATCTGCTCAGTTTTGGAGTTTGAATAGCCGGGTTCAGAGAGTGGAGTGTTGGACCCCAGTGTTGAAGGGAGGCATAGATTGGTTAGTGGTATAATTAATGCCACTGGGGCAGGATAAGCAGACTCCTTGCCTCTGCCTCTTGCCTCTGCACTGTTTCTCTGCCAGCCTTTTATTATGTCCCATTTTATGGATGAGGAAACCGAGGCTCAGGTCTGTCCCACCTAGGACTTTCTGAACCTGACAGCCAAAGTGCTTGTCACTGCGTCTGTTTCTGCCTTGCCTCAGCTCTGAGCCCAGACCAGATGGGACTGAAGAGGCCACCTCCTCTCCACTTGCAGGTTTGGGGCTCAAGAGACAAAGGGGACCATCCCGGCTGGAGGAGGCGGTGAGGGTGCTCCCAGGCCAGGCCGATAACGATGTGGCTGTGGCCTGGAGCCCTGAGGAGGCTGAGTCCTGGGAGAGTGAGGCCCGGCCAGGGGTGCCCTTGGAGCCCGTGGCTGGTTCAAGGCGGGGGCGGCCGCCCACACGCAGGCGCCAGTTTCGGGACCTGGCAGCGGAGAAGCCACACAGCTGTGGCCAGTGTGGCAAGCGCTTCCGCTGGGGCTCAGACCTGGCGCGCCACCAGCGCACGCACACAGGCGAGAAGCCGCACAAGTGCCAGGAGTGCGAAAAGAGCTTCCGCAGCTCCTCAGACCTGGTGCGCCACCAGGGCGTCCACACCGGCCAGAAGCCCTTTTCCTGCTCCGTGTGCGGCAAGAGCTTCAGCCGCAGCGCCTACCTGGCGGACCACCAGCGCATCCATACGGGTGAGAAGCCCTTCGGCTGCAGTGACTGCGGCAAGAGCTTCTCGCTGCGCTCCTACCTGCTGGACCACCGGCGCGTGCACACCGGTGAGCGGCCCTTCGGCTGCGGCGAGTGTGACAAGAGCTTCAAGCAGCGCGCCCACCTCATCGCCCACCAGAGCCTGCATGCCAAAATGGCCCAACCCGTGGGGTGAGGGTTGGGGTAAGGGCTAGAGGGATCTCGCGGGAGGCGGAGCAGCAGGATAGCCACTTCTCTCTGCTGCCACCTCCTGCAGTCACAACCCCCACTGCCTGCCCCACACTGCCCCAAGACCTGGTGATCACCTCCATGTAATGGAAATCCCCTGTGACCTCGTAGCCATTCTTCCGCCCTGGGGGTTTCTCTTGCTGTTTGGCCTCCTAAAGCCCCAGCACATACATTCCTGGCAAGTGGCCTCAGTATGGGAGAAAGGCTGAGGCAGCAGGGAAGTGTGGGAACCCCCTCAGGGCCTGGGGTCCTCTATCCAAGAGACTCCCCTCAGCCTTGCCCGTGGCTCTTTGTTCCCCCACTTCTTGGCTGGGTCCATGGGCCAGGCCCTCTGCCCTAATAACCTGTGCCTTCCTGCAGGGGTGGAGGACAAGTTTTGACCACTAAGGTGCTGACAGGCTCTAGGAGGCTGTCCCAGACCTGTGGATCTAGGTCCTGGGTGGGGCCAAAAGGGCTTTCTGGCCTCTACCCCCGCCTGTTTCCGTGACCACTCTGTCCTGTCCTGGTGACATGGAAGTTGCCAGCACTGATCTCCACTGATTTCCCCCTTGAGAGACTGGAGGTCTACTGTGCAGAATGAACAGGCCAGTGGAAACCCACTGCTCCCACACTCACCTCCAGAGACGTGGAGTTGTGGCACTTCACACTAGCGCTCCGTCAGTGCTGTGGCACTGACCCCTCAGGCAGTGCATCCCACGTCTGCGTCGTGGGCAGATCACAGGGACAACCACGGGCTCTCCAAAGGCGCTGGCCCAGCCTGCCTCAAAAGGGTAGCAAAAGGATTTGAATAAACATGGAACACTGCCCTGGCCGGTGTGGCTCAGTTGGGCATACAATAATATCTTTCTCCCTCCCTTCCCCTCTCAAAAATAAAAAAATTTAAAACTTCCTCCAGGCTGTTCTCTTAGCTGGTGGAGGAACCTAGACTTCGTACCCCTTGGTCTCCTGACCTGGTCGTCCTGGGGCAGCTACCAGATGGGGCCACATTCCTGACTTCCAGGTGGGCTGGGCCCCAAAGGGCAGCCATGAGCCTCGGGACTCTAGTCCTGTGTTAGCCAGGGGCAGCTCAGGATGACAGCTGGTGGCATTCCTCCCTATCCCAAAAGAGCTGGGCAGGGGTCTTCGCCAGGCCACTCCCTCTCTCCCTGTGGGTGAATGAGGAAACAGGCTCAGAGGCAGGGCGACTGGTCAGGGTGGTGGTGGTGTGCTCAAATCCATAGGAAGGGGGCTGCTGAGTCAAAGCGGCCCCCGTTCCCCACACTGCCCACTGACCACTCGTGTCAGAGCTTCTTCCACCCCTACCGGTGGTGGCCTCAGCACTCACTTGAGGAATGGTGGGGCTGGCGGAGACAAAACGTTCTGTTCCCTGGTCTGTGTGCCACCCTCTCTGCCCCCTGGGCCTTTCCTCAGCCAGCCCCACTGCCCCCAGTTAAATACTTGCTACCTCCTGAGGTTGCTGGGACAGACCCCACTTCTCAGATGAAGCAACTGGGGTCTTACCATGGACAGCTGGGTCCAGTTAGGGTTTCTGCCTCTGGGACAGTACCCTTCACTCCCTGTACTTTATGCTTGAGGCTGCTGTGTGCATGTCTGAGCACCTTGCATGAGTGAGTAGGGGTGACAGGTGGCAGGAACAGTGCAAACTTTTTTGGATGCTGATTGCTGGCTCAGAAGGGAGACGCTGGGCGTAATGAAATCAGATAAGAGGTGGCCCAGGAACTAAGAATAGGATTGGGCACAGGCTCCTAGTCAGGCAGGGGCATGTCAGTACCAGCCAGGAAGCAGACTGCTGCACCCAAGGAACAGAGCAAGGAGTGGGGCTCAGGACCCAAGGTTCCAAGGAAGGGGGCAGAGTCCGGCTCAGCTCATATGCAGCTGATAGGTCAGAGATCAGGGAGAAGGCAAGGATTGGGATCCAAGGCACCGGGTGAGCTCTGTGCTCAGAGGAAGCATCCGCCTGGCACCAATGGCCTTCCTGGTGTCTGGGACACTGCGGGTGGCTGCGCAAGTGGCAGATGCTCAAGACAGCCTGGGAAGAAAGGTAATGGGAGGTACCGCCTGGCCCAGCCCACGCCTGGCTCCCAACTGAGCCCCACAAGCACATCTCTGGCCTTGCCTCTCCCCAGGGGAAGTACCGTGTGCAGGGTCCAAGGGTGGCCCTGACACTCAGCAGCCCTGAGGTGTCAGCCTCTACAGTGGCTTTCCTGGAGGGTGTGTTCCAGACCCTGGGCTTTGAGAGCTGCTGGAGGAGGGAGGCTTTGGTTCAGGTGAGTCCTAGCTTTCCTACCACCTGCACTCTCAGCCCCATGTGTGGCCTCCCCAGACCCAGGCCTGCCCTTCATTTTTGCCCTAGGACTTCCTTGAGGAGCTGACTGGGTTCCGGAAACAGCTGGTTGCCCATGGGGCCCCTGTGGGCTGTGTCCTAGTGGCCTTGGTGGCCCCCAGTGGGCAGCTGAGGCAGCCACAGAAGTTGGTTTGGGAGCTGAGTGGTTGTGGGGCCCTGCGGGGCTGCCCCAAAGTCTTCCTCTTGCTCTCGAGTGCTCCTAGGGGTGAGTGGCTGGGCTGGGACCCCCACTGTGGGGCAGGGCAGATCAAGGGTGTGTGGGCAGGAGGCCGAGCCTCTGCCTTCAGGCCAACGCTGTTTTTTTCCACCCAGCCGCCCCCGAGCCCGGAGCCTTCCTCACTAGCCTGTGTGAACTCTGTGGCCGCTGCCCTCACTGGTCGCTGCTGCAGCTGCTGACGGAGGTGGGGGCCCCAGATGGGGCGTCCCAGGGAAGGGGCTGTGCCAGTTGCCTCCCCTGAGCCTGTTACACAGATTCATTCACGTGCTTCCCATCCATTTATTCTACAACACCATTCTGCCATTCATTGTCTACGCCAGTGGTGTCAGACTTGTGGCCTTGCCTTTCACCCCCTGCCCACGCCCCTCCTTACACCCACCCAGGATTCCCCAGAAACTCCAACATCTTCCCATCTCCATGCCTTTGCCCCAGCCCCACTCTGTTGGCCATGCCTCCTTGTTGTCCTTGCCGGCCTTGTGCGGTCCCAGAGTGGCAGCGACAGCCTTCCTTACGCTCCCTGAGTCAATGCTCATACCTCTCCCAGACCGGGTCCCCTCCTCCAGGCACTGACTGTTCCATCAGACTGCAGGTCTTTGGAGGGCAGGGTTGGGAGTGATTCGGGTCTGGTTTCAACACCCCAAGTTCTCACTGGATGGTTGAGTGGCCCTGGGTAATCCTGCAGGTGAGAGCTGGACCTCAGCTCTGCTCCTCAGCTCTGCCCAGACTGGTGCCTTCCCCTGAAAGGTGGCGGTCAATAGTATGGCCACTGTATAGTCCATGTCCAGAGGGCCTATGACCTTGAACCTGAAATAGAAGCCCCCTTGTACCCTCCTCCTCCTTCATTTGTTTCCTCGTCCCTCCAATGGCAGGGGACCCCGAAGAGACCGTAGTAGCTACGAGTCTGGCCTGGTCATTCCTTGGAGCCTGGGTCCTGGTTCTCTCCCTACCACGCTCCCCTGGGACAGCCCCGTGAGGGTCCTCTGGCCCCATCCTCCACAGGTCTTCGGCAGGACAGCTGAAGAGTCCTCAGGGGCCATCTACTGCCCAGTCCTTCGGAGCTCCTTGCGGGGGGCACTGTGCCTGGGGAAGGCGGAGCCCTGGCGGCCTGAGGTAAGGGGGCAGGAGAGAGTGTCCAACCATGTGGCAGCAGTGGCAAGTGGGACAGAGGCTCAGGGAGATCCTAGGTGGGGGAGGCAACGAGAGGAAAGGTCCTCAGACCACTTTCGATGCACCTTAACTTGTTTGTAGGCAGAACCCAGCCCCAGCGCTCAGTACGACCAGTCTGGGGACAGGGCTGCCCTCCTGCTAGCTGTCATCCGGGACCGGCCTGGGGCCCAGCACGATGTGGACGCACTGGGGGGCCTATGCCGGGCCCTGGGCTTTGAGACCACCCTGAGGATAGACCCTACAGCTCAGGTGAGCAGCAGCCCTGAACTTCTGGTGGTGCTCTAAAAGAAGGCATCCCCCAGCCCAGGATCCTGGGGACTCTCTAGTAGGCCTCTTGCCATGGTGGGCAGGAAGTGCAGCCCCAAGTCTAACCTCCATCCTCCCTGCTACATGCATTGGGAATCCACTTCGCTGCCTCTGGAAGCCCAGTCTCCATGGCTCCTGTGGCTTCTCAGGCTGACTGTTCCTCTGCCATCCTGCTCAAGGCCCCGGTTGGACCCTCAGGCTTTTCCTGGAAGGATCTCAGTATCCTTCCCCAAAACCCACCAACTCATGGCCCTCCCCTCATGCCTCTTAACTTTTTGGTGCCACAGAACCAGCTGCAGAACCAACCACATGTTACCTCCAGTGAGGCCACGCCAGGCCTCGCGGCAGGGGTTAGAAGGACTTCCTTCCTGGTCCTGAGGCTGGCAGGAGGTGGCAAGAAGGGCAGCAGGGGCTGGAGAAGCCTACCTGGAGGGCCTCCAGGAACTGGAGAGGCAGTGGCTATGGCCCAGGCCTGAATCTTGTTCCCATGTCAGGCTTTCCAGGAGGAGCTGGCCCAATTCCAGGAGCGGCTGGACACCCGCAGGAGCCCCGTGAGCTGTGCCCTCGTGGCCCTGATGGCTCATGGGGGGCCTCAGGGGCAGCTGCTGGGGGCTGATGGGCAAGAGGTACAGCCAGAGGCATTTGTACAGGAGCTGAGCCGCTGCAGGGCCCTGCGGGGCTGCCCCAAGATCTTCCTGATTCAGGCTTGCCGTGGGAGTGAGTGGTGTCTGGGGCCCTCTCTGGAGTCTCAGCCAGGTCCTGGCCTCCAGCCTGGCTCATCCTGCCCTAAATTTCCTCAGCTGGCCCACCTCCTCTCAGAAGCCTGAGTACTAGCCCTTTTCCTGCCCCTTCTTCCAGTGTCTCCTAGAGGTCAAGTCCATGAACTTGAGCATTTCACTCTCAGCACTTTTCATTTTGTGCTCAGAATGTTTCCAACTTGGTAGGCCTGCCTAGAGTTCTGGGGGCTGGGGACTGGACCCCCGGAAGCCTCCCCACATATCTGCTGAATGAAAGGACCTGCCTGTGCCCTCCTTTCCCAGGACACAGGGATGCTGGCATGGGGCCCACTGCTCTCCCCTGGTTCTGGCGCTGGCTGTGGGCAGCACCAGCCACCCCGTCCCACGCCGATGTCCTCCAGATTTATGCCGATGTCCAAGGTGGGTCTGTCTTCCTTCTGGAGCATGGCTTGGGCAGGGCCGGCTGGGCAGAGCTGTCTATCCAGAGCACATTTCCAGGGCTCTGAGCTGGGGCCCTGCTGCCACATCTGTCCCCTCTTTGCCAAGAGGATGGGAAGAAAAACCATCTTAAATCACAAGGGACTTTGAAATCAAGGGCTTCTCCCCTAACTGAACCTTGAAACAACCCTAGAGTCAGGAAGGCGAAATAGCTTTTCTGAGGCCACACAGCTGGTAAGTGGCAGGGCTGAAATTTGAACTCTGATATCTCTTCCCCACTCTGCACTCTTTCCACGCCTTGTGCTGCCCTTGCCCTGGACTCAGGGAGAACCTGGGGCTGGTGGAGTCCTGGGATGCGGGGTAAATGGGCTCGATCCCTCTTTCAGGTAGCAGCTCCAGGGGCCGCACTCCAGGGAGCCGTGACCAAGCAGACATCCTAACGGTCTATGCAGCTGCTGAGGGTAAGGGGATGGCCATCCAGAAGCCCCGTTAGACAGGGCCCAGCATCCTGGCTGGAGATCTGGAGTGGCTTTGGTGGCAACTGGGGTTTGGCATTTGTGGCACAAGAGTACCCATCTGGTTGCAATTAGGCCATTTTCCTGTTATGTTTATTATTTATAATAACAGTAATGCCAGTGAGCATGCATTGCGGGCCAACTATGCCAAGCCCTGTACCTGCATCTTTCCCTCCAGGCTGAAAATTTCATGAGGACAGGGTACTTCTGCCTGTACAGGGCCCTGCCCGGTGCCCAGCACATGGTGTGTTCACAGTGAATGTGTATTCACTGCATAAATATCAAGCAACGACTTCTTTTAGAAACAAGAAGTTCCCGCTCCCTGCCCCATTCCCTTGCCCTGGGGTCCTGTCTACTTGCCCCCACTTCCACTATCAGTCAGCCCCTGGGGGTTGGTGGGCAGCTGGTGGGCCAGTCTGACTCCCTGGCCCTGGTCCCCTGGCCTAGGCTGTGTAGCTTATCGGGATGAGAAGGGTTCCGACTTCATCCAGACGCTGGTGGAGGTCCTCAGAGCTGCCCCTGGGGGAGACCTTCTGGAGCTGCTGACGGAGGTGTGTTGGGGGAGGCGGGCTGGCCACCGGGAGGAGAGGCTAGATGCATCCTTCTCCTCAGCCGAATACACAACGCCCACAGCAGTTGTTAGTCACGCACTCACAGCCTGGGGAGGGTGCCCTGCATGCCAGGCAGGGACACTCAGGATTGCACTAAAACACAGAGTGCCCCAGCAGGGGCTGCGGGGTGCAGGCTTGTAGTAAGGGGGTGTTGTGTCCCTTGGCTCCTGCAGGAGGAGGTGATTGGCTTGTTTGAATAGTTTTGCAGTTGGCAGGGAATTGAAGCTCCTCAGATTCAGGCCGGTGTGGAATGCAGTCCATCTGGCTGGAGGGGGAGGTAACTGGGTGGGGAGCCTTTCATGCTGGGTGTGGGGCATATCTGACAAGAGCCAGGGGACTCATGGCTAGTCCTTTTGGGCCCTATGTGGCCCAAAGATACCAAGACAGCTCTCCTTACAATGCACTGGGTGTCAGGCTGGGCACCAGAAAACCCGGCACAGGCTGAGTGTGGTCCTCGCAGGTCAATCGTCAGGTGTGTGAGCTGGATGTGCTGGGTCCTGACTGCGATGAGCACCGCAAAGCCTGCCTGGAGATCCGCAGCTCGCTGAGGCACCGGCTCTGCCTGCAGCTTCCCAGCCGGTGCTGACAGTGGGTGGCCATACCCCAGTGCCACCATAGACCCCACCCACTTCTCAGTTACTTTACCTACAAATGGGGCATCACAGCAGGGTGCTGGGCACAGCTGGCATGCAATAAACCTCTGTTGATCACTGCATACGTGAGTAGTGCCTGCTTTCAGGGGGGTGGGACAGTAAGTAAAATAATATATGCAATGTGCCCGTCACTTTGTAAAGGCACATTTGTGCCCCTGGAAACCAGATGCTGGGCCTGGGGGAAATGCGGGTGCGGGGAGGGTGGGCAGCATCTGAGACAAACCCAGAATGGGCTAGGCTGGGCTGGATGTCCTGGGAAAGGGCAGCTTTGGGTACATACCACTCTCCCAGCCCACCTGCACACCAAACGGTAGAAAAGCAGAAGACCTGTGCTCTGCCTTCACGACTGTCAGACTCCAGTTTGGGGCCACAGTCCTGGAGCAAAGCACTGCAGATTTAGCGGTGCTGTGATGGGGAAAGCAGTGATGGCGGGAGCAGGGGGCACCTTCTGACCCAACGCGGGCTGGGAGCACGTAGGGAAAGATATCGGAAAGGACCTTCTCAGGTAGGAGGGGCAGTGGAGGCCAGACCGGGTCTCAAATTCACAACAGGACCCGGGGCTAAACTAAATTGAGCGGAGGAACCCAGCTCGGAGCCCCGCCCACATGGAGCTCGAAGGGGGTAGGGGGAGCAGAGCTCCTATCCACTCTGAGAATCCACACTAATGCCTGCCGCGCAGGCGCCTAGACAAAAAGCTTCATGGAAAAAGCTGTGGAGCATTTTTTTCACAGGGCCGCGTGGCCTAATGGATAAGGCGTCTGATTCCGGATCAGAAGATTGAGGGTTCAAGTCCCTTCGTGGTCGCTGTGGAGGTTGGTTTTTCTCCATCTGCTTAATGTTTTCTCCCTCTCTGGACAGCTCCCCACGCGGGTCTAGGACCTACTCTGACAGCACCGCTGCGGGGACTCACGTTGGTGGAAGAAGCCAGACAACTACAGACCCTGAAGCCACCGGCCCAGGGACCCAGGAGTCCGCTGGAAATTGTTTACATGACACATAGTTCAGACGAGGAAAACTGCGTTAGATGAGGGTTTGGACTGTTGGGGTCGGGTGCATTATAAAATGTAAGAGATTATTGTCATGAAAAAGCTTTGGAAATAGTGGTAATGGTTGCGCAATATTGTGACTGTAATTGATGCCACTGAATTGTACATTTAAACATGGTTAAAATGGCAAATTTAATACTATATATATTTACCACAATAAAAGTATGTTAAAAAAATTGAATACATTATTCCTATTTCTTGCACTGAGAGTGTACCCTTAAATTACTATGTGAATGTATATATATATTAAAATTTAAATATCAAGAGTATGCCCAGGATTGAGTCATCATTTTACCCTGGAAAAATGTCCCTACCCGCGGAACCGAATTCTCTCCAAGGGATTCTGGCTAAGCCAATGACAGAGGTGGATGAGAACTTCCCCCCGCAAGAGAACGTGAGGAGAAAGCTAGGAGAATGGTACCCCGGATGCTCGGTGCAGCTGATCTGGGGTCCTGTGGAATATCACTTTCCTTTTCCGTCTTGGTGAAGTTTCTGTGGTTTATTGAGGGCTCATAAATATAAAGAAGAAAAACATCATGAAGATAAGCATTTTAAAGATGGGAAAGAACACCCATCTTATGGTAGGAAAGTAAACGCAGGGTTCTCTGGTGATATTTGAGTCTCATGTTCTGCCACTGGGCTAGCCAGGAAGATACAGAGCTGTTACGGAGAGTCCTAAGGACAATGACCTAAGGCTATTGGGCTCTGCTAAAAACCATGGAGACCTGGGCCCAGATAACACTTTGGGTCTAAGGGCAATGTGGGGTGTAAGATGGAGACAAAGACCTGCACTTTTTCCAAGTGTCTGACTGGTCCCCCTCTCCTCCGGCTGCTACATGCTGCATTAACAAATGTCTTCCTGCTGCTAGTTATTCCGGGCCCCGGATTCTCCTACAAGGAGCGGGAAAGGGTTCTTCAGAAATTAATCCCCTCACTTGTAGCACTGTAAGTGAGGATCGTATCCCAATTCAATGAGCCAGCCGAGTTAACGCCGGCATGGGCTCCGTCCGCACGTGCGCAGTTTCTTTTAGCCCAAGGATGTTGCAAAAGATCTGAGAGGGAGTGTGGATCGAATGTGGAAATAGAGGGGCACGAGGAAGGTTGGGATAAAACCAGAAAACGATATATAACTTACAGGAAACACGAGGAGAGATGAAAAAGATAATAGCCTAATATCACTGCAGGATACCACTTGTCAGCCCTGGTGGCCTAATGGATAAGGCATTGGCCTCCTAAGCCAGGGATTGTGGGCTCGAGTCCCACCCGGGGTAAAGGATTAAAAACAGTCGAGTTTTAAACCCTTTCCAAGTGTGACTAGTAAAAGAAATCAAGGATTTAAAAAAATGAGCCCAGACACACCTTCCACCTGAACTTTGTACATTCTTACCCTCTCATAAAGGTTGTACAGTTTCAGAGGAAGTACTGGTTTCCTTTATACTATTTTAATAACCATATGTTCTACTTGATGATACAGCAGTCATTTATTTTTCTAGATGTGTTAATTGTATTGTGGTTGCATATATACTTAAAAGTCCTCATATTTTATAAACACTCATTTAGAGATTAAGTTATACAACAACTGGATTGCCTTAAAATAATGGGCTAGGTGGTAACTATAGTTAATAATAGTGTACTATAGCCCTGGCTGGTATAGCTCAGTGGATTGAGTACTGGCCTATAAACCAAAAGGTTATTGGTTCAATTCCCAGTCAGGGCATGTGCCTGGGTTATGGGCCAGATTTTCAGTAGGAGGCAACCACACGTTGATGTTTCTCTCTCTCTTTCTCCCTCCCTTCCCCTCTTTCTAAAAATAAATAAGTAAAAATTTTTAAAAATCTTAAAAAAGGAAGTTCCTTTATTAAAAAAATACTGTATTGTATATTTGATATTTGCTACAAGAGTAGACCTTAAGCATTCTCACACACGAGAAAAGGTAAGTACATAATGAAGATAAATACCATTTCTTGAAACTGTCTTGTCAGTTGTGTGTCTGAGGATGTTTGTGTACTGAGTTATGATGTTCAGTGTGTGGTTTACTGTGCGTCATGGTCAACAAAGTTTGAAAGCCCTGGTTTAAACAGTAGGTATATGGATAAAAAAAAGAAAAGAAAAAAGAAAAAAGGTAACTGTGAGCTGATAGACATGTTTGTTAACTGTGATGAATATTTCACAATGTATACGTATATCAAATTGTTACCTTGCACACCTTTAAGATATATACATTTTATTTGTCAATTAAACCTCAGTAAAGCTGGAAAAAATGTAATGGGCTGAATGGAGGCACAAACAAAGCAAGCTTATCCACCATTGACGATGGCTTAGGCTGGGGGACATGAGGGCACACTATAAAATTGTCTGTGCTTTAGTGCATGTTTGAAATAGTTCATGATGAAGTGTATTTTTTGCTTTTTTGTTTTTTTAAATATTTATTTATTTATTTTTAGAGAGAGGGGGTGGGAGAAAGAGAAGGAAGAGAAACATCAGTGTGTGGTTGCCTCTCCCATGGCCCACACTGGGGACCTGGCCTGCAACCCAGGCATGTGCCCTGACTGGGAATCAAACCAGTGACCTTTTGATTCACAGGTCAGCACTCAATCTACTGAGCCACACCAGCCAGGGTGCATCTTAATCTCATTAAACACGGGCTACCACTGAGTTCAGTGCTCAGCCAACCAACTAAGAAACCTGGTGGAACCACATTCAGCTGCATGAGATAACATGCTAAATACAGGCTTTCTGGAAACCGCACCCAAATCAATAAATTCACTACGTGCAAAATTATATCCCAGTGTCACAGGTTCAATTCCCAGTCAGGGTACATGCCAGCAACTGCACATTGATGTTTCTCTCTCTCTCTCTCTCTCTCTCTCTCTCTCTCTCTCTCTCTCTCTCTCTCTCTCTCTCCCTCCCTTCCCTCTCTAAAAATAAATAAATAAAATCTTTTAAAAAAATTATATCCCATCCACCTTTCTCTAACACCCTTAGATCCATTTCCACACATATTCTCCAGGTCTTTGCTGGCACGACTGAGCAAAACTTGCAATACTTTTGGCATATAAGCTATTTTCTCTTGGGTTAGCATTTGTACTCGCTGCCTGCAGCATGCTGATCTGGCTAGTTATGAGGCAAGTGGGAACTAGGGTGGTTGGTGTGGGCTTTTAGAAGAACTGGCATCCCTTTGCAAGACACCTGCTCCAGGTGAGATTATTGTAGGATATGCAAACTCAGGAAAGCTACCCTCTTCAGATAGCAGAGGACGGGCTGCTTTAGAGGTTTAAAACCATGACTAAAGATTCCCAACTTTGTCTGAGCTCACCCAGATGTCCCCAAGACTTTGGCTCTACTCCTCCATAATCCGTGTCATTTCTTCCACATGAAAGCTTTGCTGAGGCTATGCACTCCACTTACATTGTCATTCTGTAATATGCATCATTCAATCATGTATTAAATTTTAACAATATTAGCCCTGCAGTTTATAGATTAGCCTTTATAGCTATAAGATTATTATATGACTGCCGTAAAATGTCCCTGTATCTGAACATGACTGAGGCTGGAAATTTAAAGGCCTGGTCTTGTCATTTTCTTTCTGTAAGCTAGCCAGTACACTCAGAACCCTTTCTGTGCCAGTCCTTGTAGTCACCTTTACTGCCGTAACGGTCAAGTGTGGCAGCCACGTGGTCCCCCAAGGTACTGGTTTCAGTCAGCACTTCATCATTATCTGCCAGGTGATACTCGGCTTGATCACTGTGCGCCGTAACTGGCAGTATGCCATTTCATGTTGGCAAGGGTCTCAATACTGTGTTCAAGTCCAGGTTCATTACTGAGCCATGGTCCATCAGCAGGCAGAATACCAGCCATTGGGGGGTAAGGGAAATGGGGAAAGGTTGGTAAAAGGTATAAACTTCTAGTTATAAGTCATGGGGATCTAATGGATAGAACGGCAGCTACAGTTAGTAATAACATATTGTGCACATGAGATTTTCTGAGAGAGTAGGTCTTGTGTTCTCAACGCATGGACAGTAACCATGTGAGGTGATGAATATTTTAATTAGCTTGGTTGTCATAATTATTTCACAATGTATGGTTGTATCAAATCATCATATTGTGTACCTTCAATATATATGATTTTTGTTTGTTAGTTACATCTCAAGAAAGCTGGGGGTAAAGAAAACCCACTCATTATTTTAACAGATTATTAATGAAAAAATTATTAAGTGGATATAAAGAGTTGTTGTTGAGGCAGAAAGGGGACTCAGAGAAAGTAGCTACCACCTACAGGGCTGGGGGACCAAGGGAAGAGGTAAGATTTTTTTCTTTAATTGATTTTAGAGAGAGAGGAAAGGAGAGGGAGGCATTAATCAGTTGCTTCTCCACCTATGCATTTATTGCCTCTTGCCTGTGCCCTGACCTGGGATCAAACCGCAGCCTTGGTGCCTTGGTACCACACAAACCAACTGAACTACCCAGCCAGGGTGAGGTACGATTATTAGAAGTTAGAAGTTTGGAGAGGATTTAGGGAGCTTGAAAGCAGATCTCCAAAAAAGAGATGCCACTCCACTAGCGTGGGTGTCTTTGAGCTCAGAAAAGAGCTGTAACGCAGTCCTCTGAGGAGGGGACCTCAGTCAGCTTGCGCTGCAGTCTCGGATGAGCTGTGATGAGGCCAATTCTGTGAGTGCTGGGATAACCTCAAACTGGGTTCAGCTGTGGTTTCTGGAATGAATTGTTGCTGCATGGATAAAAAAAGTGGGGGGCAATAGGAACAGGAAAGAGGAGGTAGTGAGTCCTTTCTCCCTCCTCCAGCCTTTCAGTCTCTCTAGTTCCTCCTCTTGGAAAACCTACAAAGACCAGCTGGCAACGCAGAGTCTCCCTAAACAGAGTCAAGAAGGGTGAGTTTGAAGTGGAGAGGTAAGAGTGTAACCTGGCCTATCCCGCTTCTCCCACATCCTTACAGATGTGTCCTGTGTCCCCTTCATAAACTCACTACACAAAAGTCCCTATTTCAGGCTTGCTTCCAGGAAACTTGTCCTAAAACAGTTGGAGCCAGACTCTAAGAATGAGTTTCTGAAGCTGAATCACTTGCTGACTGCCTGGCACCAAGGACCACATCACTGATGGTGGGTAGAGTTTAGAGAGACCCTGGCATGCTG